CCAAAGAAAACACCTGAAAAGGCTCAATTCGCCTCCTAAGTGATGCTGTTATTCAACCTCGAATTTAAAGGTGATACTGATGCAGAACTTCTACGTTGACAGCTTTCGAAGTCTCTCAGTTAAACATAACTTGCCGCTAGTCTATGAGCAATATTCTTCTGCATGAAGGTACTCACCCAGCTAGTGAAAGACCAGCTGTAGCATTGCACCACTTCAAAACTCATATACAAGTTCACTTGGTCGTGCGGAGCCTTGTTCATTCGCCGAACCATTTGTGAGCTTGTAAAATGCGCTCGGCACCACCTTCGAGTATGGTTAGCGAAGGGAGAACACAGAGGTGGATATAGTTTGACGGCGTAACCTCTCGTGAATTCTGGACATTCAGCTCCATCCCAAAAGTCCCTCAAAGCCATATTCAAGATCCAGTAATACCTATCAAAGCGAATAAAATCAATACATCTAGGAACAGCTGGAATACTGTCAATCCAAAAACTCACGCCTAATCTATGTGTCCAGAAGTAATGCCTCAAACTGTTGTCACTACCGTTGAGATCATGAAACTTTAGTCCCACTAATAATATTCATATTCCAAGCCTCCTACTATTTTGTAATTTTACGTCCTTATTTGGTGATAATACAAGCTTACGAGATTTCCAGTAATGTTTATCCTATTGTGTCTTGTCTACCTGGTTATTACACATTGTAATTTGATTTGACGCTTGAAACATATTTATTCTGGAACATTCCCACAAATTTATCATAAAAGCACGCATGTATATGCTAGCTGGTGACAATGCCGCTGCAATCATCTTTTCAATAATTCGCATGATCCAATGTGTATATTCCGTAATTAGAAAAGTGTAAAAACAAAACAACAGAAGATTGAAGTAACGCCAAATATGCATGTTAATTATAGCATAAAGTGAACTTTCAATTAAACAATCACCAGTTTTCGTTTTGTTCAGCTTCCCAGTACTGTTCATCGATGAGTAGTAATAGACTTCAATAGAACTAACATTATAAGAACACAATACTACATTCTCTGTCAGTATTCGGCATCTTGTGATTAAATTGTTTTCGTCATACTGTGTCACCTACATTGCACTAACTATTTGGTGTTTTTCATTCTGACAGCCTTGTCTCCACCATATAAATTCATGCATTCCCGTTATCAGACTGTGGATTCTCTGGTCACTGTTCTGCACTGTTTAGCATTTCGATTTATTCATGGTGACAGAGAATTATCGGTAACAAACTAAAAAAAAGCTCCTAAAGTTATGTTCTGCATCCACTATATTCTAACTATTCATTCCTAACATAAGTGGATTGGTCTGTGTCTTCGCTAGAATTTGTCACAGCCTGAACTATGACTACTGATGTTTGTGTTCATCTGCGCTCTACTTAATTCTAATAAGTAGTGACAGTTGATATTTGTTTCAATGTTACTACTTATTGTCTTATATTTTTCAATTACCTGCGATACATTTGTGAAATCTGGACCAATATAATCGGACAATTTTGATTATGTGCTGGATATTGAAACATTTTACATAGTCTTTTTTAAATCATTCATGCTACGAAAAGTACTTAGCGACGAAATGATTTTTTGGCAAATGGATTCTCATATCTTGATCAACTCTATTGCATTTTTATTGCAATAAACAACAATTTATCATTAACCTGCTGATATATTTGTTAACAACATAGAGCTTCAACAAGACATCTCTACTTTGTTCAATTTTCTGCCAACCTAATCATCTGTTTCGGTAACTGCCCATAAACTCTCATATGCGGGTCTTCGCACGATCTCCTACATGAGCCTTTCGTATAGACGACCCCCCCCCATTGCTTTCCATAAGGAATCCATTGAAAAAATGGCTTGCATTGCGCGTTGCATCGTTCATTTGACTACTCAGCGTATGTTAAATTTCACAAATTTATTGAACAATCATTTATCGTCTGTTGGTTTGCTTGCAGTCAGAGGTTCTTCTTGCAAACTCGTTCTGGCCCAGCAGGTGGAAATTTGATATTCAGCATGAAGCCACTTAGAGCAGATGTTGATGAAACTAACCAACGTTTTGGAAAACCTGCTAAGGCCACATAGAGTAGGAAGATTAGACAAACGCAGACGAAACCGTTGAGTGTCGTCACGCGCCACACCATCTCTTGAGTGTCACTCTAATGGGAATTGATGACTGGGACATGTATTCGACAGTGACACGTAGTTAATCATGTGAGGAGGCGAAGAGAGCATATAGGCGATCATGACGCCAGTTAAAGTGGACCTCAGAGAACAGGATGAAATGGAGATATGCAGTTGAAGCTATAGGCTACACTCAGAACCAAAGGGTATACCAATACTACTACTATTGATGATAATAATAATAATAATAACAATAATAATTATAATAATAGTGACATTATAATAAGTAGAATTTAGTGGTGGGAAACAGAGAGAGAGAGAGAGAGAGTAGATTCACTTCACAACATCCAATGTTAGTGCATTTCATGTTTCTGCGTACAAATCTCATGTGAGATTCACAAGAGAAATCTGAGAATACAGCGACACGTGATTCTCTTTGCCTGGGAACATGTAAGTGTACTGAAACTGTTCTCATACAGTAAATCTTGAATTTATTTTGTGATTAACACAGGATACTTCACTGAAGCGCTCATTCACATAAGTGCAACAAATCTATTAGAAAAAAGTAAATGGGAGAACTTGGTGACCTTATTACCACTGAAGTGTACTCGTTTATTGATGCACTGAAAATGGATGGTGAATCGTGTCGCTTTTATTATGAGAAATGTGAGTTTGTTTGTGTGCCAACGCGTTGAACACAAAATTCTGACTGATTTTCCTCGTATGCATTCCAGTGTAAGAAAGAGCCACATGCTGGATGTGTGAAGTTTCAGCAGGAGTGATATTCGGAGAAGCAGTTACAGTGGTGTTTATTTTGAACGGTGTGTGGACGTGAACAGAATTGCAAACCTACTCAGCCTGAAAGGAAATAATGGAAAAGATTTGTGACTGGGCTTGTGGTTCCCTGTCTACTCTCGATATTGACATGGAGAAGATCGTGGTACATAATTTCGCTTTGTAATCCTTACGGCCTAAGTACAAACTTCGGTGTCTGCGTACTGCTTGAGTTCCGAAATGGTACAACTACTACAGTTATCCTAACTCCAATCATTTGTCAAATGCACTTTTTCACATATTCACGTGACGGATACATGCACTTGTTGCAGTCCCAGTGGAAACTAAAGCTGTGTCTAAGTAGTTCAACAATGACGTCTTTGACTGCAGCACAGAGTGAGAAGTGTTGGAATTTACAGAGGTGTGCAAAACATGATCAATAGCTGCGGAAACGGGTCGACGGGATGACAAGTCGTGAATAACTGACAAAATAACAAACAAACAAACACGGATCAGATAAGTAACAGAGTCACTTGATAACCCATCGACTAAATAAATAAATAAATAACTGACTCAGCTTGAACTAAGTGCATAAGCTACTCACTGAATGCCTAACAGAATTCATGAATAAATAATTAGAGAAGTAACTCAATGACATTGAACGAAACAATAAATGATCACATAAATAAATGATTAACTACTTCACTATCCAAGCAACTATTCAGCTACCTAACTCGTCTGTTAACCAAAGTTGAACAAACGAAATCAGTAAATAAGTGAATAACCAGCTCGCTGACTCAATAGTTCAATGAGTAAGTTTTTAAGGCAAGATACAAAACAACCAACTAACTATCTAACTAAGTCTTCTTCAACCGGCTGAATTTCTGAAATGGCTGAAATATCTAACTAACCGAATATCATAGTATCTGACTGAATAGCCAATCAAATAACAGACTAACTAAGAAATTAATCATAAAACTAACTATACAACTTACGAACTAAGTAACTAGGCTTGAAATAAGTAACTTCGGGCTGACTTAATAAGCTTGAAAACACTAATTTAATACGCACCTAAACCAACCAACCTAAGTAACTAAGAGAATATCTAACGCCGTTATCAGTAACTGACATGGTCTGCATCAAGCAAACAACTCACTGTGACAAACTACTTAAATGACTAAGTAACCTATTATCCTACTAAATAACGGATTAACTAACTAACTACTAACTAACTAACTAACTTGCTAACTGGATAACCAGTTGACTTTCTGAATAATCAACCAACTGAATATCTAACTCACTAACTAATCAGCTTAACAAGTCACTTACTATCTCAGAGAATAACAAACTAAACTTCCAACTTACTCACCTCGATATAATCAAATGACTGACTAATTGACATTTTAAACTGATAACTAACTATCTAAATATCCAACTAACTAAATAACCAACTGGGCAACTGAATTTCTCACTGAATAATCAACAAACCAACTAACTAACTGATTAACGAACGAGTCACCTAAAGAATCGTCATCTAAGTGTCTAAGTAACTGATTAACTAAACTGGAACCAACAAATGAAACAATCTGTTAGATAACTAACTACCTAACTTAATAGCTAACCTTTTTACTCATCACCCACTAAATTACTATACGTGAAATTAAATAATAATTACGTTTCAACTGTGTAACTATGTAACAGTGAAAGCACTGACTAAACAACTCACCCCAATTAGATCACCACACTACTATCCTGAAACTGGCACTTTCTGTGAGAATTATCCTGTGTTAATCGCATATTGAACTTTTAGAAATCTAATGTGTGGGAATTGTTTCAATAGAGTTACACAGGCGTACAGGTAATTAATTATTTACAAAATGTCCTCAAATTTCTCTTGTGAATTCCACATGAGATTTTCACGGCGTAAAATAAAATGCACATTAATATTAGATGTTGTGAAGTGCATCCTATTTCCCACACACACTCTGTCTCCCCCTCTCTCTCATTCTCTCTACCTCTACTTTCTCACATTCACTGGCCACCTGTAGAGTATAAATAGCGCCGTGATTTTTAGTTGTTTGCTGTTCAATTCAACTTACATCGCTGCACATCGATAAGATGATTGAGAAACATTGTCTGATACTGGCGTTTGTTTGGACGTTGTTTCAATGTAAGTGATTATCAGTGGAATCACGTAATGTTTTGTTGTATACACTGCTTTACATTTGTATATGATTCCTATGTTCCCTGTTTGTTCAGAAAGTGATACTGTGCTTAATTCCATTCAATTCACGCGAGACATAACCACGTCGTTGGACTGCCTCCTGTGTCTTCTTTTGACATTGTTGAACAATAAAGATGACTGTTTTCAGCAACACTGATCCATTGATGTCAATAGAATACCACTGGAGAGGCATCTGTAAGTGGTAACATTCTGAGGCTTGTACTTTCGATACGAGCATTCATGATTCTCATTCTGAAAGAGACGAAATACTTTTGCTGGTCATCACCTATGAATGCATCTGTCTCTCTACCTCTCTATCTATCTATCTATCCGTCTATCAATTGTGTTGCTCCTGTTGGGCCAGTTATATTAGTCGTTGTTCTAAAAACATAATTTTCCGTACTTCGAAACCCATACCAGTATGATTAAATCAATCTATATATAGGGCAGTTCAAAATGAGACCCCTTCGTCGAAACAGGCCGCAGAGCTAACACTGAAGAATCTTGTTCTATCATCTGTCTGGTGGCAAATAAATCGCTAGATGCTTCCAAGTTACCAAATACTCGAAACAGATAAGGCCATTAAAAATTGCTTAAAACAGCAGGGTCTATATGTGCCAAAGAAACAGCACCAGCCAATGCTGCTCCCTCCCGTAACTATCTGTGGAACCCATAAATTCATTCATTGCTTATTTTGTTGTCATTCTGAATTTATCTGATATTCACTCCAGTGTTATGCAGAAGTACATTACCACTGACAGATGCTTTTTAACTGCGTTCTACTGGTAGTATTGATTCGATTCCTTTTAAATAGTAGTAATTGTGTTCATATCAGTGATTCTTTAATTATTGTCAGTGAATACAACTCCAGATCTTGGAGGGAATGTAGTTATGAAAGAGAATATCCTTTGTGCATTAACCAGTCTTTTATTTGAGCACCTGCAATTGAGTAGTTTCACCGTCGTTTATTTTTGTTTTGTCAATTTCATTACAGTGTCTGACGTCCTGTGCAATGAAATATCTCCGGCTGAAAGAAGTAAGTCATGCTAACAGTGTGGTGTAGACGACTTGAATTTACCTTCGACTACATTGAGTTGCTTCTGTTAAAGCTGCCTAATGATGAACTCTTTCGTATAAATCGAAGTTGACGAATTATTATCCTCGTGTATATCTATATAATTACACAAGCACACATGCACAGAATGCTAATATAACGTGAGGTGATAGAAGACCTGCGAGCTGACCTTTGTTATCCACACTTAATTTCTGCTAGGTCAAAGAAAAGTGGATATTTCTGATTGGTTGTTAAAATTGGGCAAATGTTAAACAGGATGTTCAATGTCCATAGTGTGAAGCAAATCCAGATTTGAGGAACAAACACGTTCACCTCTGTAGCTATTCACTTGAAATTCTGATTTCAAATTTAGCCCCTTTCTATCGATCTGCTCATACCACATATACTATTGCTGTTTGGTACTCAATATTCAATTCAATATGTTTCAAGTGATGCACACTTCAAGGAATAGAATCCATTCTCTCACATTGGCAGATATCATGTAAGGATTATGAATGCTGATCCCCATTTTCAAGATGCAACGTAATTCCGCACTCAGCATGAGGAACAAAATTGTGTTTAATTCACATGGTAATGCAAGAGTTAATTATTTTTCAACTTGATATGGAAGTTTGAAGGTATGAATATAGATTACAAGCGGCTTACAGACAAGAATACATAGGATTACAAAAACATTTACAACGCATGCAAAATTAAAACATTCGATAACCGGTGAAATAATTTTAAAGGTGAATAAAAGGTGATAACTATTTTCCACTTGATATGAATTACAAGAGGCTTGCAAACCAAAATCACGCAAAGATAGAACGAATTACAGGTGTGAATAAAATCAGCGTGGAAACAAATTGGAATCATTGGCCAAAGTGGACGTCCCCTTCGTCTTCGTATCCATGAACATAAGCTAGCCGTCAAAAGACATGATATCCACTCCCTCGCTCATATCACTACATACAGACAACCATGGACATCAATTCGACTGGGACAACGTTCAAATACTAGACAGAGGAAACAACAAGAATGCTAGAGAATTATTAGAAGCTTGGCATTCCAGTGAATCATCAATCAACCGATAAGAAAGAAACTTCACACACAAAGGGTCAAAGTTCAAGTCAAAGAAACAATCAGTTCTAATACAAGTAACCTAGAAGGTGTGAAAACACACATAAACAACCAATCACGTCCAAGGTGGTCACCAGGAGGGATGATTGATAAACTCGTGGAGAAATCTAAAAGCTCACTTCATCGAATTGAAGTATGCGCTGAAGATGTCGCCTAATAGGATGATGATAGCTTCGCAAATCAACCATCCAGCTCAGAGAACAAAACCACATCAAAATTGAATCATTATTTTCATCATGAAATTTAAGTTAAGAGGTGTGAATATAGATTACAAAAGGCATAGAAACAAAAAAGAATTGCACAGGATTAGAGCATATTTGTAAAATAATTTTTCTAAATGAATTACAAGTATTATCAGGAGGAGCACAGAAACAAACTTAAAATAACTGATTTTATAACTGAAAAAAATAGGATGAATTGTATCAAGACATTTCAAGTTGAAAGTTATGTGATTCCAATTGGTTCCCATGCTCATTTTGTTCACACCTGTAATTCGTTCTATCCCTGCATATTGTTTTAAAAATAATAATTGTCACCTTTTGTTCACCTTTAAAATTATTTCTCCAATTATCAAAGAATAATTTTGCATACCTTGTAACTGTTTTTTTAATCCTATGTAATCTTGTCTGTAAGCCACTTGTAATCTATATTCATACTTTCAAACTTTCACATCAAGCTGAAAATTGTTAACTCCATCGTTACTATGGGGAAGTAAACAAATAATAATTGTAACCATGTGAACCAATCTTTGGGTCAGTTCTTCTATATGGCTCACTGACTTGACATGCGCTTCACCGGAATAATTTTCAACAGATTACTGCAGGCCTCTATCAGACGCATGAGACGTTGCTGTATAGTGAAGATCAGACAGCCGGCTAGAAATGATGAGCAACGAGAAAGTCTGAGGACGAATCAGTCAGCCGCCTTGGTCCTCAACAAATATTCTGAAGGAAATGGAAATACTTTCGGCATAGAATAAAGACACTGTCGAATGATATTGCACTGCAAGCGCTTGAGTGGAACCCGACTAAGAGACAGCGACTGTGATGTCTGAGGATGATTTGGAATAGATCGTGAGAGGAAGAGGATGGGGATTATGAGGAATTTTCGAGCCAGCTAAAGATTATTGCAGAGAAGAGGACAAGCTGCTCTGTTGACGCTCCATGTTCTCCTGAGAACCCAACGAAACAATTTTTTTTCTTTCCTTCACATTCCCAGTGGAACATAGGGCTCCAAGCTATAGGCTTGAAGATTCCGTAGCAGTGTTGATTTTTACAGGATGGGGTTGCTAGCCTCATGCCCAACCTTTCCTCTTTACCAGTCTCACTACTGGCTTAGCGAGGTAAAGGTGTGCGCCGGCCGGGGCTCGAACCCCGGGCCATGTGCATGGTCGGCGAGCGTCTTAACCACTGTGCCACCGACGCACAACGAAACAATAATAAACAAATAATGCACAGAGTTTACTATACAACATATCAGGAGGATAGAACTGAGTCTGAGTCCAAGGTAATATAAGAGGCAGGATAATCAACTTCTGAGCACAATGCTCTGGCTCTTCCTTAAGCGTAGCTAGATCTGATACTGTATGAAAGAGATGTAATCTTACTTTATATATGACTCTAGGAGAAGTCTCTGTATGAACGCAAGCAGTAATGACCTCCATACTCAACCTGTCGACTAACTCATGTTCTCCTTTTGACATCCAAACTAATCGATATTTTCATGTTCTAACCACTTTCTCGTTTTAGCTAGAATTTAAAAATGATCTCCTGAAGTCTTTCTTTTTCTGCTGACAAGTAGTTTAACTGTCTAACTATCCACTGAGATTATCTAGAGCAAAGAGGAACACCACGTCGTTAACAGTATTCACATTTCTCAACTGAATATATAATCTCCAACTTTACCCACTTTGTTTTTAGTTGGTCTCTATATTCTGGGTGAACTAGACAAGCTGATCGAGGAATACAGTGAACTCTACGGCCGTTACAAGACCGCTGAATGTGAGTAAAGTTTGTTCTAGCATGATCAGGTGTTGGTTAGTAGGCATTTGATTGATTTCAATTTTGATCGGTGACTGATATCTATTGAAGAATCACTGAACAATGCATGCAGTGATTGACACCTACTGCATCCTCTTTCCACAGTACTGATCAGTAGACACCGCATCACCCGCTTCATGAAATTGAAGTATGCGCTGAAGATGTTGCCTAGCAAGTAGAGCAATGAAAGATTTGCAAATTACCTATCCAGCTCAGAGAACACAACCACAGCAAAATCATCCACCTGAGCTACAAATCTCTTCCACCATATCTAAAATCTCATCCTAAAACATCTCGTTACCAGCACTATCACACAATCACGAAGAGAAGCATTAGGATGAGAGATTCAACACGGAGCAACAGAATTTATGCTGATCAAGTCAATATATGAAATTACAGTTTAGAGGAGGCACGGATAATCATCACACAGTTAGTTGAAACTTCCGTGTTAGTAGCAAAACTGTAGTTTGATGGATTATGAGTGATTTTACTAACAATTATTCCGTTAGAGTGATTACTTGTGTGCGTCGGTGGCACAGTGGTTAGGACTCTCGCCGACCATGCACATGGTCCGAGGTTCGATCCCCTGGCGGCGCACACCTTATATCTATGGTCGGCCTGCAAAATTTGGGCTACCGATATCCATGCTGAAAATTCCATACTTGTACCAAAAATACAGTGTGGAATCAAGCTGTAAATCAAAAATAAAATAAATAAATAAAAAATATTTGAATGTATTGGTCTGTTTTACAGGCGTAGCATTCTTGGCAGTCAGATCACCAGAAATCAGTTGGACTATGAAGGAATTTAACAATGGTGAGATATTCAAGCTAATTTCAGTAACAATAATGATGACTACAATAACAGTGATCTCTTATTCAGTGACAACCTATTGATACTTGTCTAATGACGGTAAGACATCGGAGAGCAGAATGCACGATTCGTTACTTTCAGAAATGTTTTGATTTTGGCGAATTAGAAATCGTTCTAAGTTTGAACATGCACTAATGCCAGTTAGGCGACCAGTGATAACGACCTGGAAGTACCGGGCAGTAGTTTCATTCTGATTGGAGATTCTGTAGCTTATCCTGCAACTGAAAGGCCCTTTGGCATGAACTCCAATGGGTATATCATATCGATGAGTCTCAAAATCTGACGAAACTGCTGTCCAGTACTCCTGACTGGCTCAGCGAATAGGCTGTCATTCGGCGATTCCTATATTTTGTTGTGCAAGGTACTCTAATGTTCAAAATTCTCTCAGAGGACATCATATCACTCACGTTCAACCTACCCTGTTTCCCAGACCTACTACCAGTGGCCGATAACCGAACAACAAACCACATGAATGGTTAGCCAGTACTCTACTGCCAAACCGCTAACGCATATCACACTGGGAAACAGTATTATTTACTGGATGACTAAGTTGAGAATGCAACTGATAATTTCTAGGTGGACCACGAATTATTATCACTTAGAGGAACCCTAAAAACCACCAGTCATTATTGAACAGCTGGCTGTCACGTCCTACTTTCGGACTCATCAGTAGTACACAAACCACTTGAATACAAACCCAGTAGTTTCTGAATAGAAGGCAGAGTCGTTGACCGTTCAGCCACTGAAGCCTGAATCAATGACCATTCCGTGAATCCTAGCTTCTACTGACTCCTGTTTTGTTTTCAAATCTGGTACAACAGGAGGAACACGGACATTGAGATTGATAACTGATGCAGTATTTTCTGTAAACAATTCAATTCTGATTGACCTGTTGATTGATTGCACCGAGACATTCCATTTCTGTTGACATGACTGAGAATGTAATTTGAAGAAATTTAGAAAATGGTGGCTAGAATTGGAGTGCAGAATGTATATTTCAAGATACTTGAGATTCATCATTGGGATGCACCTGCGAACCTCAATATCTGATTGTGTTCCCACTGAGACAAGAATCCATCACACAACGTTTGAAACAGCAAAGTATTATCCACTAGACCACTTTCTCCATGACAGCCGCAAACATTGAATGCTTCATTCATCCAGTCAACTGAGAATACGAAAAATAGAAATCATTCAACCTCTGTCCACCCTCACATCGACGGAATTCTACTCACCTGACAGTGAATGCACAGGAAGCATCAGAACTATAAATATCACGTATAAAGGTTGTGTAGTGGCACCTCGGCGATATGGTTCTGAACAATCCGAAGTTGTCTTCAGTTTATGATACTGTTCAACCATTTATGTGACATATATTCTAATGGAATAACATGCTCACACCACAGCCTGCCTCTTTTACACATAAGCTGAGATTATTTTCATATTGGCGTTGTCAACGTTATTTTCTCTGTCTTTCAGTTATACGCGACACCAAGTTCCAGATATTTGCGAACACGAGCGTGGATTATCTGAATAGTGAGTACTCGTGATAAAGCTATTAGCAGCAGCATTAAATAGCGAAACGTCAGTAAAAACAATATCGTTTTGTTTTTCATTCATTGGGAAATACAAAAAACCTTTATTATAATGTATATCATATACCCAATGCCCAAATGTTTTCAAACAGTTAATAGTACTCGTGTTGTCTGTCAGCGAATTAAAGGCATAATACAGCATTCAAAAGTGTTCATCAAAATAATCATAAGAACATGAAAACTATGTATTACTCATCGACTTCAATGAGTACTTGTAGAACACTTGCATCATAAACAGTAGGTCTTGTTAGCCAGCTAGATCAGATTGATCTGAACACCACTTCATGGTCAATTTTCGCTTCTGGCGCCGAGTTCATCAGCAGTGTGACCAGTTTGACTCAGTTAAAATCACCCGACTTTCGGCTGGTTACTTTTTCGAACTGGTAATATATCAAATGATCTCGTTAATTTAGCCAGTTGGAGTAGGTGAATTTTCACCATTCAGTCTCCTCAGGGAAACAAAAAGTATTCATATCACTTCATGTGAGTGTGTAATCTCCTTGATATCATAAATAGTGATCATTTGGTATCAAAATGATTCATGACTGGTATTTTCATTAATTATAGAACTGACGAAAGACTTCTGTTGGAAGAATGTGAACGGATTTTCTGGAGTATACAGTGTCAGTTTAGGTATGATTTATTTTCAGAATAACTCCTTTATAGCGTGACGGGGAATGCATGCATGACATTGACATTTTATGCCAACAACTGGAGACATTGACACGATAACCCCTTGTAAAGAAATATTTTGCAGAGCTGAGATGCAATCACAATCAAAGCAATTCTCAATTTTGATCACCAGATGACTGATATCTGTGTGAGGACCGTTGAAGTCCACCTAGGAGAACTGAACAGATGTTTTGTCGTAGTTTGTAAGTGTTCAACAGTACTCATCAATGGACATATACAGTGGGTCATGAGGCGAAACTGCAGACAACTCAGTCATTTGGATGGCATCCAATCACCTACTGATTAGTGTGTCCATAGCGTACACTGAATTTCCTGTGTTCGATCTCTGATGAATAGGTTATTGGCCTCGTACGACAACGGTGACCCGCTTCAACTTTGGGCTACTGTACAATCCTCCATCATTATATTGCATCCAGTCTCATTGTTCACTCTCTCAACTTTTTAAGTCTACGTAACCTGCAGACTTGTGAATTCCGAAATAGCCCAAGCAAAAGCATCTTTCTTGGTGACAAAGTATTTTGAAACGTACTCCAATACACCAAATGATGGTTCCTTAGATCACCAGTGCAATCTATCGTTCCCTGTCCGATGAAATTAACTGTCTGTAGTCTCACTTGTCTACTAATGTAAACCGGAACACGAGGATTACAACTCTGCAAGACACCTGGTTCTATGATCTATATGATGATTATTTTGTCTGTCTGGATGGTTTTACAGTTTTAAGACAAAATCAATGTAGCTCTTAAAAACGCAGCTTTGGCGTTGCAACCCTCATCAGTCCTCAAGGAAGATCCACTTACAATAACGCACGTTTCAGATTCTCAAATGATATAATCGACTGCATTACTGTGAAATGTCAACTGAAGCATCTCCCTGTATAAGTACAACTACAACTACATTTCTGACATTTATAATGCGCCTGGCTGATTACCCTAAGAGGTAACCTCATTTGCTGATGGTTTCACTTCTTTCGCTACCACGTCCCATGCCAACTGTTTTTTAATAGGTACTGAAGATTTGAGTTCCTGTGACTTCAGTTTTCCTATATCATTAGCTCATGAAATATTGTTCCCGTGATTCCAGTATTATAGATAACACTGCAGTTGGAACTAAGCTGAGTGTTGAATACCTTGAAATGTGTCTCTCATCCGATACAACTCGGTCTCTACTCTGACAGTTTGTTGATTATTGTGTTCAACCCATGCTGCTTCATTTCACCACCTCAATCTCTCCCACGTTACTTAAGAAAGACTTCGTTACATTTCAAAGTATGGTAAAAGCTGTTGTTATGGCGATTGGGATGTCACTAAACCAGCTTGGTAATACTGTTGCAGATAGACACGAGAACTCAACACAAGAAATCAGCGATTATTATCATTTCGAACTCTGAGCAGCCTCTCTAAACGCAACTCTCCCGTCTCACTTCTTCAGGTAGGACAAGAATGAAACATAGAAATCTCTACGCTCCGATGATTGAGTATAACCCCCACCACCCAAGCCTTATTTTGCCAGGACAGATTTTATGTTATGGAAAACTGTAGGGCGTGACATTTCTAATTTACTGCGCGAATCAGCATATCGATGTCCCTATTGATTCTTTCTCTAACTGTATTTGTATGGTTGTCGATCATTCTACTTAATGTAAACTTCACATTCGCATTCTCGTTAGACATTATCATCGATGCAAATGCTCTGTTAGTTAGTTACTTATTTCTCAATAGGTGATGTAGAGTAGAAATTAGATGCAATGGTTGTATTGCATGCTGAAAATTCCGCATTGTATCGAATGAACTGCTTGTAATAAGGTTATTATTATTATTGCAATTACGGTTGTTAACATTATTGCTCACTAGTGGTAATCTATGAAACAACACCTGTCCAGTGCACGCAGATGGTTTACAAACACTCCCCTAACTGACAACAGTCCGTTATCCAAATTAAAACTAATCCACTCCCCATAAAATAACTTTCCAGTATTATTCCTTGCACACAAAAGTCTTGTGTTGTTGTTAGATGGGACCGCTGGAATTAAAAATTCTTTTCTCACTTCCATATGTTCTATTCAGAAATATTGATACCTCTATTTCATTTACAAATTTTGCTTCCAATGTAAATTATAGCGCTGTGTGTTTATATATTTTTTGAATCAGGGTGCGTGAATGTATCGAATTCGATTATTGAGCAAGTAATGTGTGCGGTTTTTATCTTCTTCCATTTAGATACCATTGAATATGTTTATTCGCTACATTGTGAGTTTATTGTTGAATCCGAACAATATACACGCTTACAGGTAGACAGATAGCTACATATAATAGATCAGGGATAGTTAGATCGATTTCAAAATGATTCTTATGCTTTCTTTTCCAGCCCATACTGTTTTTGAAAACATTGGCCACAAACTGGGGAACATGGAACCAAAAATTGACCTGACTACAGGTAGCCTTTGATCTCCATGAGGAAGTATTTTTCATTATATGTTTCTCGTGTTGTAGTAAGTGAAACCGGTTTTCAATTCTTCTCTCCACCCTGTTAATGTTCTCCACAATCATGTTATGTTGTCCACAAAATGGATATTCAAAGAATCATAGATTCACCACTCTCCACTATTCATTCTACTCCAGTACCACATACTCAATGCAACTTGTCTGTCTAGATAGTATCGTGCAGATCCTGACTGTAAAGATATTCATCTTCCTGACATTCCATACACATAGTACAAATAAGTCAACTTGGACTTCTGACTTCCACACTTCCCATCTAACAAGTATCTGGATAATCAACCAGTACCGCAGACAATGTAACGTGGTAAATGCTGAAAACGATTCATATCCTCGTGTCGAATCATCAACGCATCCGCCTACTTCAATGCATTTACTCAAAGTAGATTTCAATAAAAATCAAGCTAAAAACATCATCTTAAGTCAGCAGCCACATATATGCCACATGCATCTCCTTTTTTCTGACACCTAGCGAAATCGAATCCTCTGTCATCTCCACCGAACAGGATTATATCACCTATTTATTCTAACTCAGTCTACACATCTAGAACAGCTGAGACATGACCAGTCTCAGATCAATTAGAACATCTTCAATAATGTTGAGTGGTGACAGTAGATACTATTTAAAAACACCGTTGAACATTGTCTGCTCATATTCCAATTGTCAGTTAGTAAGTTGTAAAGTGATTTTGTGATTAGCGACTAGGGAAATGGAAACCAGGATGCACATTTTGTGCCGTTTAAGATCCTACATTTGGAAGTGCATGCATTCTCCAGTTGATGGTAGTGCTTCTACTAAGACTCGAAACCAGTACCCATGATTCCACACAACATGGTGTTATCCACTATACCACTTAGGCGATAACAGCCACCTCTTCTGCAACGAGCATCAGTTATTGCTTGTTTTGACTGAATGCAGATACGTCCAACTGACGAGTACTGAATAACACGAAACAAGCATCATGGATTCCGCTGCGAGTTATCACCCACCAAACTATTTCAACTTAAACCATAGAATTCATATAAGCGTCTCAACTATGAGCCCACATACCATAAAGGGTCGAACATTTCTGCCGAATCAATCAGCAGGAAAATCGATATCAACTTAAAGTAGACATATGATTACACGTAAATAAGAATTCGTGTTTCTGAAGAACATGCTGGGTCTAACACTGTATTCTACTGATGACTTTCAGTCTTCACTGACCTCGTTAACTCTCTTCGCGATGCATGGATGGCTAGAAAGGAACTGCTTATCACAACAGGTTAGTCTACAGAGTATAGTCGTTGTTGTCGTTGTTTCAAAGATATTCAGTGTAAATGATAACTGCATTGTGTTAAATTCTACGTCCATGTTTTGTTCAGTGTTTATTCATGATCCTGACAATAACTGCCATAGTCACTCTGCGTACACAAGTCGACAAACAGATAACCTTCAAGGCTCACTAGTTTATACACATTGTTAATTGACAACAAAAGTCACTGTCTATTGTCACTTAGTAGTAAAATAAATCAAAGTGCATGATTGATAACGATGTACGAAGCTACACTTGAATGGCTCTCGTAATCGCAGCAGTTGTCAAGTACTACGTTACATGATGAGTGGACGTTCGAAAATGGCCCACAGAAAACAAGATAACTAATAATTCAATTCAGGTCACAAAAATTGACTGACTACATACAGCTTAGAAAGTACTTAGACAATATGCAGTGCGATGGCACAAATCTTTACCAACCTCATTGGAAAGCTACACTTCAGTTGATCCACAACGGAAAACTCAGCGAATTACTTCGAGTGAAAACAGAAGTAAAAATGCTGAAAACTATGAGTTCAAGGATGTTTATTCTGATTCAATTGGACTTAGTCAGTCGGCAGACTCCGAAATACGAGAAGACAGGAATATGTTGGACCGATAAGAAAACTCTGAAATATCTGCACCTTATGGAAGATTAGCATTGAATGTCACAACAATTCGGTGACTGACAGTTGATGACCAACAATTTCGCAGAAGTGGTAGAAAGAGAAGACAGGACTTCGAAAAAGCATATAGGAGACAGATATCATGAAGATGACCGATTAGCCGACCAACCAACCAGCCAGCCAACAATAACCAACACCAATCACTGTCAGTACGAGAAACTTGAAAGAGGTCACTGCCTTCATTTATTCAGTCAAACAGCATGGTTTCAACTACAGGCACCACCATAGATGAGGACTTTGAAACCAGTCAGTATCAGAAAGGCGAGACAGACATTCTCTATTCAGTTTGGAATTATCCTTCACTCAGCAAAATGAACAAAATATTGATTTTGGTTCAGTGACTTGACATGCGCATCACCGAAAGCATTTCCAACAGATTATTGCAGACTTCAATCAAAACCCGACGCTTTCGCTCCAGATTGGGGATCAGATGGCCAGAAAGTATTTTACTATTTCTTATTTATTATCTTTGTTTGTGATTTGAGCGGAACATACGCTGTCAAGCCTAAGCTTTGAACTTACAATAACAGTAGTGTTTTCTACAAAGTGAAATTCCTGGCGTCACACACGTCAACGTCACTTTGTCAAGCTTACAGTCAACTAAGCGAGGCAGGAGTGTGGGTCGACTGGAACTTGAAACGCAGACCACATGCACATTTCGCGTGGATTCCAGCACTGAACCACCGAAGAAACCAAGAAGGAATAGTGAACAAGTAAATCTGGGGACAAACTAACCAACAAACTTTTACTCAAAAAATATCTTTCAGAAATTGACAAGGATCGGACAAACAACGAAGTTTTTGCTGTGGTTTTGTTCTCTAGGTTGGGTGGTTACTTTGCGAAGCTTTCATCACCCTACTGGGTGATGAAAGCTTCGCAAAGTAACCACCCAACCTAGAGAACAAAACCACAGCAAAATCATCCACCTGAGCTACAAATCTTCTCTATCATACACAACGAAGTGGTTTTTGAATAACATCACGTGCCAGCCCATCACTCGAGTGTAGGTTGGATAGCAGCTGTCGACTTCCACATGTTTATTATGAACATATACACTTTTATGAGATAAATTTCATGAAACACATTCTAAGCCTATTCATTTTCATTGTGTGTTTTTTGAACCATGAGATAAATTTATGATGTTTTGTATTGACAGCTATGTACTATAAAACTATGAATATGGCGGAGAATCACGACATCGATTATGAAAGTAAGTGAACAGAAATAACCACATTGAATGTCTTGAAACAAGTGAGAGGTATGATTTGTAGCTGACATCAGTCAGAGTATCATTGGAAGTCAGCTGGGTGTACTGGACAGTCGTTGCGTCACACTCTATGACTCTTGAGCAGTACGTACACACCGAGGTGTTGGTGGATGTTGTACAAGTGAGATTACAATGAATCTTTGTGTCAGTGTGATGTTTCGTTATCCGAATGAACGACTACTGTTTGGTTATTTGCAGTCATGAGTAATAAACACTGCTACTGATGGAGGAGGTGAGTGAAAGTCATCAGTAGAAACACTTTCAGTGATTGTTCAGATTGCACTGCTGCCTTCCAGCAAAGAACAAGTCTTATGTCTTCCAGGACAGAGACGAAAGGCGTTTTTCAAATATGTACAGTCAGAATGAAAACAAATCCAAATTTATTACATTTTCTTAGTACACTTCGAAGAAGATTTCGAAGGAATATTGAATGATATCAGCATGTGACGTAAGGTGACAGATGGACGGTATATGATATGCAATAAATTCTGCTGAGGATTCCATACACTTTATAAAGATTGTTCAGAACAGGCTACAATTATTGTTATCAACATTACCTGCCTTGGTTGGACACACAAGTTAGTAAGGTTTCCCCCAAGAGATGGTCTGGTGTGCCATGTCATCCGACAGACTCATCAGCCTGTATCTTATGAATCTTTACTTCTTCTAACTGTCTGCTGAATAATAAGTTCTTGACTCGTTCGTTTCCAGAGTTTCTTGGTGCTAATCCTTGCTATCTGATCATTTGATCTACACTGTGGGGTTAGCGAAAGCAGATGTTGAAAACATTCTTCAATAGCCTGTCTGAAATGCTTTTGACAGCAAACCAAGTCCCTCGAGAATATGGGACTGACTTCAAATCAGTGTGAGAAATCCAAATTTCTCTCCTTACACTGAGTGTGGCAGAGTTTAAAACTGAGTGTTGAATGTATGCCTAACCTTTCCAGTCCTCAGTGTCTTTGATATCGTCACCGGTGCTGCGTTTGGTTGAAACAGTGCTTCGTAGATAAGTGCAGGGAGTGACCGCCTTCACATTTCTTCCATTTCTAGTGATTGGTGCTTGTTTTTGTATCTTATTCACTTTTAACTTCTCCTCGCGTTCACTTAAATCCCTACCTTTGCTGGTTACCTTTTCGGACAACTTGTTGATTTCAGCCTGCAATTTTCCTGATATCACACACCAGTCGTCCTCAAAGTTAAGATCTCCCAGCATCTTCGTATCGGTCTAAAATATTCCTGTCTTCCTGCTCCATACAGCCTCCGGAATGATCGAGTACACCACAGCCAGAAATATCTTAGCCAGTGGTAAACAACCATGTCTTACTCCTGTCTCCACTTCGGAGGTTTCGTCGAGTTTACCGTTGTGAATCATCTGATACCAGGTATTGGCATTCGGTTGGTTAAGGTCTTCGACATTGCCCTGCATACTGTTGAAGTAGTTTCCAAATGACTCCGAACGCCTTTCAAAGTCGATGAAGTTGAGACGGAGATTCGACCGTCATTTTATGCTCTGTTCAATAACGATGCAGAGAGTTTTCGTTTGATCCGTATATAATTTGCTTCTCCTCAATTCAGCCTATTGCAGGTGAAGTTGTGCATCCACTGCATCTTTTATTCTCTCCAGAATGATTGTTTATACAATTCCATTAGTTATTATCCTGCGATTTTATTGATTGGTAATATCATTTTCCGTACATCTAGTGTCAGTGTCTGGTACTGTGTCATTGCCACTGCATGTGTTGCGCGTACACTCGATGAACAAACGCTCAGTGATCAAGATTTCCGTCCACATAGGTATATTACATTTCAGACATGTTACTCTGTTCCACCCCATTGTGCAATTGTATCTTCTAGCATGCATTGCAGCTGCTCAGGTTTTCTCTTATCTATTCATCTTTTGATTTAATGCCATCTCACGTATATAAATGAAGCAAAACGTTGTGTGAGTGACTTGATATGATAATGAGCAATAATTTGTGCTTGAAACGTCACCAGTTCATGTTCCTGTTCAACACTGTGTGATTTATCAAAATAAAATCTTATCCATAATGAAGTTATACTCTACCACCATTCTCAAGGTTTATATTCATGTCATCCCACCCCTTGTTTGTAATGGTGGACTTAACTAATTTCCTTAGAAGGCATGCGAAAACATTAGCTAATACGTCGAACAAATAAAATCATGAAATCAAAAAGACAGTGAGAACATCGGTGACGAGTAAATCTTTTTAAAATTCATTAGGAAGATATGAAAAGCTGCAACATTCAGTACTAACATAAATAAGGAAACGTTTGAGACGTGCACAGTTTTACTATATATAGAAGTAACGTTTTGAAGTTCTGCCTAGGTTACTGAATAAACTCAGGATTAGAATGTGGCATTCAGATCTTCAAAATCATTCAAGAAACTACTCTCTAAGCTAATGGATACAATTTTATCAATTAAAGAAGACCAATTTGATATGCACAAAGTATCGTGTAATGACTCCACCGTCAGCTAAACATGTGCCGCCAGTGCGATTGGTCAGAGTCAATCAGGTAATCGAAGCACACGGATTGAGTTCAGTGTAGAATGACTGACGTGAGAAGGAAGAACAGTCTAAAGACCGAAACTCAATAATCGCAATGCAAGCTCAGGCAGACAGCCGCACAATAGAATGAGTCCTTTGTCAATCGTGTCCCAGTGGGTGAATGGTATACGAGCTAGCTTGCCTTGTAACCGGAAGGTCCTGGGTTCGAATCCCAGTGGGTGCGTGCTGCCGATGATTCCCAAACTAGGATGAAACAGCAGCTGTCCAGTACTCCGTGGTTGGTTTTCAATGGTTCTCTAATTGATATCAATCCGTGATCAACCTATAAAAATATAACTAACCCCTACAAACCAAACTATAGAAAATCAGCTTTCATTGCAAACATCTAGTGAGTTCCTACAGGGTAAATGACACTTGTGCAAGTGTTTGTCTGATATACACAATACACACATAATATTAACAACACATGTCAACAAACACCTCAATTTTCCACATTTACTTAAATCCACAAACAATTAATTTCATTTTAACTTAACACTATTGAAATGACACTCGTATTAGCATTGATTTCTGCTTTTTCATTAGATGAACACATTGAAGAAGACTTGGGAGAAATCATTGAAGTGGAATTTGTCAAATCAAGAGGTAAACAAATGTTAAATTTCAAACACGTTTCACACCTAGTTATTTTGAATCATGCAGAAGCAATGACTTGTGCTAGTCCATCACTGAGGAGGAGAGGACTCTCGAGTGGCCTCGAGGATGTTGCCTAGTAAAGCAATTAAGGCTCCTCAACTAAACCATCCAGTTCAGTAAATACAACTACACCAAGAGACACTCATCCAATGTGGATCTATAATCCCACCATAATGCCTAAATTCTACTCTTATATGAACTATATTAACTGGCTAAGTAATTGATCAGGCCTGATGAGTAATTAGCCTCATTTCCACCTGCTTTCCCTGCAAAGTGTGTACATGTGCGCTGAGAATGAGCAATAATATGTGAACTCAGCGAACACTCATTGACTGATTGATCGAATTATCTTTAAGTTTGCTTCATTTCACTTTTCTTTGTCCAGGGACTGTTGAGCAGAAGTGTCAGAATATGTTAGGAATGCAAATAGATAAAAATAGTAAGTCCCAGCTTGTTTGTTAAGAATTCTGCGTAAGATGGTTTCCGAGGTTTCTTCCTTGTATGGAACTACTACTGATAATTTCGACTCCTTATTGTTGGTGTTGTCTTGCGCATATTTGACTCGCATGTCGTTAATAATAATATAATTCAAGTGTTGGTTTGTAGGGATTTGATTGGTTTCACGATTTCATCATGAGCTGACAGTAGTTAGAGAACCATTGGAAAGCCTGGGAGTACTGGACAGCTGTTTCGTCCTAGTTTGGGACTCTTCAGCAGTACGCACCCGCCGGGATTCCAATGGGTCTCTAACTAGTGTCAGCTCATGATGAAATCGTGAATAATATAATTATAACTATTATTATCACCATCACTACTATCATTATTTATTTTATTTTTACATTTCCCTACATATTTCCTGACTAATTTATCAGGGTAATTATTAAGTTTCAAAGCTTCTCTTATATATACCACTTCCTGTTTCAGATTTTCCTTGATACTTCTTCGTTTTTGTGCTCTGTCACTTAAACATTGCACCAATCCTATTTTCACTGACATAGGATGGTATCATCAGAAGTCCGAATATGTGTTTGAATGCGTGGGTTTCTTGTAAACACTAGTATGTGTTTAACTTTTCATCTTCTTTCCTTTTTACACCGCAATCTAACACTGAGAGCTCTCCTTCGTGACTTTCCAATTCATAAGTGAATTGAATTCCCCCCACCTCTGAGTTAGTGTGTTCAAAAAATCTATCTATATTTTTGTGTCCTGAGTACAGTGAATGTGTTACGTACATACCTCTACACACCTTATTCACCCAGCTTGTTTTATTGTTTGTAATTGACGAATGTCTGTGTTGACTTACCAGCAACATCATCAGATATTATCGCCACTTGCAATAAGATCAGTTTATTGTTTATGGTGTAATGTGACATCTGTAAATCCCATCTCGTCACCATAAAATCTTTTTGTGACAGATATGCGATGGTGAATAAAAATGTCGGTAGTGAGTTTGAATTATTTGTGACTAATATGGGAGCATAGTGCCTTGGTGGCATATCGCGGTGGCATGACGCTCCCAGAGCATACACATGGTCTGGGGTTCGATCCCCGGCCACCGACGCACTCCTTTAACTCGCTAAGCTAGAAATAATGCTGGTAAAGAGGAAAGGTTGAGCATGAGGCTAGCAACCACATCCTGTAAAAATAATAAACACTGCTACAGCAACTTCAAGCCACTAGCCTGAAGCCCTATGTTCCACTGGAGAACGTGAAAGGAAAAAATATGGAAGCATCTATACTGCACAATCGACGAGAAGACGTTACTTCTACGCATCTTAAAGTACTGTGATTCAACCATTCACCGATACACCTATCCATGCATGCATTTCATACGTGGTGTATATTTTACCAAGTAATTATTGTTATGATTCCCTTAGGTACCAAGTGCAAACTGTGACTTAAAGCAATTCTCCACTTATCTTGTTTTCCGTAGTCACCTTGAGCTAAGTTCACGATTGGTCATCGGCTCCAGTCTCCTGTTTACTCCGATTCACGCTCAGATTGTCCTTTCTTTTTTAGGTTTCATTTGATGGTTTGTCTGGATGGGGAGTTAACTACACTGAACAGTCTCCTCCATGTGTGTTCAATACATCTTTATTTCCGTCTGTGTTTGTTGGGAAAAAGTTGAATCGGTAATTTGTTGACGGAGTTCAAATTTGCTAATCCTTTCTAGCCAGCCATTTGACATTCGGCATCCAACCATTGAAGGTGACTGGTGATAAACGTCTGCAGTGATTTGTCGGAAATGGTTTTGGTGACACACTTTTAAATCTATGTGACAATGAACGTTAATCGTCCACGCTGTTCAAGTCTGTTCTGTAGTCAGGGGAGAATTTACTTTGAACCCCTCAAAAATGTCTCATCAACTGGCACTAACAACACAACCTGAGAGCTGGAGAACACCTTACTTCCGATTCTCTGACAATAATAATAATTATCATTCCTTCACGTTCCCCAGTGGAACATGAGGCTTCAGGCTAGCGACTTAAGGTTTCTGTAGCAGTATTTGATTTTACAGGATGGGGTTGCTAGCCTCACGCCCAACCTTTCCTCTTCACCAGCATTACTTCTGGCTTAGCGACGTAAAGAAGTGCGTCCGTGGCCAAGGATCGAACCCCAGACTATGTGCATGGTCGGCGAGCGTCTTAACCGCCATGCCACCGACGCACTTGACAATACGCAACTCATACCTTCCTTGGACAAAGCAGCTGCTCACAATCTACGAGATTTCACTAGTTCTCCAACTGATGTCAAGTAACGATGTAAACTTGACTTACATCCATTTTCTCTCGCAATCACTTTGTAGGTGAATATGGATCAGATGTCCCATCTCACCACCTAATCACTTGACCGCGTGTTCTATTCCGAGACGATGTACACTTCGCCTAGTGCACCAGTGCATAGTAAACGTGTGCCTGAAGGTTAACAAATTTATGCCATTGAAACAACGCCTCTTCTTGTGAAACGTCCAGAGTTCAAGTTCCCTGCAGTCACATGTTCCACTCAGTACTCATGGCAGGCGAAATAGAAATTTTCTTGTACCTCATAGCATTTGAATCCATTCGCCTCCTTTATACCTTGATCCCTTTCAACAATTTCTATCATTTACCTCATATTTTTTTCTCAGCCACCAAAACATTATTGAAGCAAACAAATCACAAAAATGTACCAAAGTCTGAATTCGGCCGTGCTCTTGGTAAGCAGAAAATTGTGCGCTTGCAATCTTCCTACCCTCTCATGTGAAACAATTCAAAATAATGACACCACTACGCAGACTTAAACAAAGAAGTCCTTTGTGCATATCTTCAGGTCATGCAGAACTTCACCCGCATAACAAGTGTTGAAAATCTTTTTCATTGTATTTGGAGGGAAGTTTCCAGAGGATGTAATTAACATAGAATAGTCAAGAGTTACCCTACATGGATTCGATTTGCTTCAAGTTTGATCATGGTTTGATGTTAGTGAGAGGAGCACTAAAAACTATCAGGGAGTACTGAACAGCTTTTCCTTCCTAGTTCCGGTTGTTCATCACTACGCTTCCACAACACCGCCGGAGATTGAACCAAGGACCAGCATGTGATGAAAACAAACTCGTTAGCCATTCAACAATAGAGGCCGCAATCCAACAGCCCTTGAATTGAAAGAAGGATCACTTAGAGATTTTATTGCGACCACCAACCAATGTCGTAGGCGAGTATATATTCTCACTTCCTATCAGGTGCACACCATTCGTCTCGGCTTGTCACTGGAACTCCAGTCCACTTCGTCATTTGCGGGCATCATAACCTGAAGGTGTCCTTGTTCTGACCACCGACAGGTGAGTTCATGCTTGACTACCTTCAATGAGTCCTAAACTAGGAGGATTGCACATCCGGCTGCCCAGTACTCCCATCTGTTCTTCAATGATTCGCCTACTGATATCAATCCGTGATTCAGGCTTGAAACAAGTCAAATCCCCGCAAACTGAATATTGGAGGTAAAGCAAAATTGTCTGTTGTCAAGTTGATCACAGTTAAAATCTCTGTTCATATGGCTTATTTATCTCAGACATATAATAAACATAATGAGTAGTGAAAAGTGATAGAAAGGTGGACAAAATTTAGGCAGACTAAGAAGATGGCACAAACAAAGTAAGAGTAAATGAAGAAGCAAGGATTTACCAAGACAATTCATAGTGGATCACTATATCCTTCTATACGCATAAATTAGGCCTCAACTTTTCGATTGATGCTGCTTCTGTAAATAGTAGTAGTCTACTGTTGCTGTCTTTTTACCATCCGGAAGGCTACCTAGCAGTCTTCTACCTGAGGACAATCGTTTTGTACATGATCAGAAATCCGCTTTGTATTTACTCTCTCTCAGTTCTTCGCATGTAAATACAGCTGCAAGTACAAGTAAATAAATGAATGCAGTTTCAGGTTTCATCAGGCATTCTCATATCCCGATTTGTTCCCTTCAGCATATTCTTCGTCTTGTAGGCTACTACTACTACTAATCTAATATAAATGCTACTGCCGGTGCTAATTTCGCAGTGGGACACACTACAGCGACACATGCATTATGCAGTCAGCGAATATCTCCCCAAATCATTTTGTCACCCTTGAATGTATAGCAATCTAAAGAATGCATTCTTCTTTCCTCCAGTTATTTCAATCAATGTTTCGTTATCCAATTAGGAATATTTACCTATAAACTTAGTGTATACCCTATTGTCAACGGATGTTTTGCGAATTCGATTCAATTATTCGTCAGTCGAATCTTCAGAAAATACAGTCTAGTTGTTCTGGAAAAGCAAGGTATTGACTGGAGTTCTATTGTAATGAAAGTGGACAGAAGTTGTTAAATAGTAAATATTGACCTGTCCAAGCCGATGTATGATAAATTCCACTTGATGATATAGAGCCATCTTCATTTCTCAGAAAGACTCAGGTCTAAATCACCTCTATCTGATTCTGACTCCACGATTGTCCATTAGTCTTCATGTACTCCATCTCTTCAATGTCACCTTAAAACGCTCAACTCATCGTTTTCCATTCGCGTTCCATTTGACGCATGGCATGGTGCATCGGTTTACTCAGCTGTTTCCTCAGCGTGTATCTGATTCATTTCCATCTTCCCACGTCTATGCGTTGCACCACAGGTTCTTGATTGGTTCGTTGCTAGAGTTTTTTTGTTGCTCATCCATTCGGACTTTCTGATCTTTAGTATGGAGTTAGTGAAGGTGGCTGTTGATGCCAGTGTGAATGAGCCTGTTGGAAATACCTTTGATAACACGTGAAGTCTCTCAACTGTAAAAAAAAGTGTATGAATTCACAGTAGTAATCGAATTCCGAATCATGTTCTTTTGGTCAGTGTAGGAGATTTTCAAAGTTACTTCAGAGTAATGAGGGTCTGCCTTTCCACACCGAACCTGACGAGCTTAGACATCTTTATCCGTACCAACTGACTGTAACTGAAACGATGCTGGCTGTCGAGATGAATGGAAAAAATAACTTCCTTCAAATTTCCCCCATTGACAGTCATTGGTGTTCGCTATTGTTGGCGGTTGTAGTCGTGTTCGGTTGGTTATCCTCTCCACCATTATTCATGTTTTCGCTACACGCCTCTTCTACCAGCTCGTTACCTTTTGCTTGTAGATCTTCTAGTGTGTCTGTGACATTCACATGAACGCAATTAAATAGCTGGAGTTAAACCGCTGATTGATTTTCACCCTCACACATAAAATTAAATTTTGACCAACATATCTTGAGTACATTTTCAGTTTGGCTTTAATGCATCATTTGCATGTTTGGAAAGTACTCATATCTCACTCCATAGTGGTCACATTGCAGACTGGATTGTTAAAATCCACTGTGCACCAGCAACAAGATCTAGGCATAGTACAATAAATTCTACTCAATGTCCAGTCAAAGCATCCAATACTCAGTTAAAGGAGGTGGATCGGGAGTCTGAAAAGCTCGGTGATAACATATCTGACTGTAGATAGCGCACATCAGAAGGGAAACGAGTTGTTCCTTCAAGAATGCAGGTAGAAAATTTCTGAGTGTGTTGATTACCAGGTAATACAACATGCAGGACACCTGAATGTCAAACAGAGCATTTTGCTTGCGATTGCCTCCAACCATAACATGACATTTATTCTTATATGTGCGTCGGTGGCACAGTGGTTAAGACTCTCGCCGACCATGCGCACATGGTCCGAGGCTCCAGCCCACGCCGACGCACACCTGATATCTATGGTCGGCCTGCCAAAAATTCGGGCTACCGATATCCATGCTGAAAATTCCATACTTGTACCAAAAATACAGTGTGGAATCAAGCTGTAATCAAAAATAAAATAAATAAATTATACAATGAGACGAAGGAGTAAAAGGCAATGCGACGCTATTTAAACATTCACCAGCTTTTTTATCAGATATCCGCTCAGTTAATATTTCTCCTTAACATTATTTCACATGTTTAGCTCAACTGAAATCTGAAGTACAGAAGCTTGAGAAGCACAGAATCGACAGGCTTCACAGTAAGTTCACTCAAATTTCACTCATATAATAATGAATACACTTGTGTTTAGCACAGTCGCACTTGACTATTGTGAATAAAGCTCTCGATGCAATGATACGAGAGGCTTCTCATGATTTTGGTAAGTGATTCAGAGAGGCTATTTACTTGCAATTCACTTTGTTGTGAGATAAATATTTAACTGCATCGCGATTATTAGTATCATTACTATCGTTATTATTCATTCATGCATTCCTTAAGTTCTTAGGGGAGGGAATATAAAGCATGAGATGTTTACTTCTCTCTAGTGACCTGGATTCATGGCATCTTTAAGTATTCTAAACTGACCACTACCACAAGGTTTCACTCCCTACTCATATAGTTTTCTCAACGTCACTTTAGGAAGACATGCCAACACGTCTCTTCCTATTTAGACTCCACTGGAGCGATTCATATGTTTGATGTCAGTCAGTGGTCTTCTTAGATAACATCTAATCCCTCTCCATTTTCTTTAGAACATTTATTAAGTGATATGTTCGATGACAGAGCTGCTCACTGCTGATGCTTTCTAACCGACCATCTAATCTTCAATATGGTGATATCAAAGTCAGGTGTTGATAAAAGTCTGCAATAGCCTGTTGGAAGTGATTTTTGTTGCATTCAGAATTCCTGACGCATGCAGAAAAATTCTCTAAATAATAATGTTGAAAATTCGAATCATGTTGTTAGTGCTGAGTAGTGCAGTAGATTTTCACACTAACCTTTGACCACTGAAGGCTTGTGTCACCTTTCCGACTCGGGTTTTGAAATCGCTATCCATCCCTCCCATAGTTGAAAGAAACTATTTATTTTAGATCTCTCTCTCTCCCTCCGATGGTGACTGTTGAATGCTGTCGTTAGCTGGCTATCGTCAGCTGGCTTATATCCCTCTTAAGATGCCTGAAATCTGGTTTCTCATGCATATCTCAACACATACATCTGAATTTGTCCGAGAATGAGGCATAACTCTTCTGTGAGACCTAAATAATTCCCCACCAGTTCGATGTATTACGGTCTTCTCATTCCTCACGGTCTCTTACACATCTTAGTCATCCATGACCGCGAAAGTATTCTACGATAGCCGTTAGCCTTGTCCTACTCCTATCCCCACTTCAAATGCTTCGATGAGTAATGATAATTGAATAACCTGGGATGCGACTGGTGTCGTACATGAAGTTTGAACATGTTTGCGGCACCACACTTTCTAGTGTGATGCGCAGTCGATGATGTTGATGGTCTTCTTCTTTCAAAGTCGTCATTCTAGCCTGTGATCAATAACAATGCTAAGTGTTGTAATTTGCTCCGTGAATGACCTCCATTGTCTGAATCCATCATGTTTGAAGTGGATTTTCAATCTACAGAACATCTTTTGGTCTCTCAAAGATGATGTTGCATTTGGGTCCTCATTGGCATTGCTTTTCACATACTCCATCTGATTTCGAACGTATTCCTATATATTTCTGGTCTTTAAGACGTATGAATTTGTCGTACAATCGGCGTTGACTGAAAGTTATATGTTTGTTGGGGGATATTTCTTGACGAGTTGTCTGCAGTGATGAATATAAGAGTCGTATGAGGTAATTATTTTTAGAGTTCCCCTAGTTAACCTATTCTGTGTAACTGTATCCCCTTCACTACCTTTCACTGTCTTCGTCTGCGTTGACCTCTTCCCAGACAGCCAATTGTATTTCGCTCTAAAAACCCACAATTCAATGAGGGTGTTCCTGTTGAATATATTGTCCAATTGCTGAGAGGGACTCACATGCCAAGATTTATCATCCAACAATGCTGGAAGACATTTCCCTTTGATTGAATCGGTGACACTATTCAAGCTACAAAACGACCTCAACAATTTCTTCGGGTAGCTATTAGAGTCAAAAGATTTCCCAGGTAAAAAGACGTCCTGTACAGCGAAATTAACTCTCCAACCACAAACTCAGGATATCTGATAATCGGTAGGATTATTCTCAGTAAGATCGGACTGAAGCTCTGTCTGAAATAGTCAAATAGAACAAAACACACTTCTCAGGTCGGCAATTCAAGGTCACGAATTTACATTCGTTAGAACACCACAACAGAATTATCTCTGCCCTCCATCTTCGCAACTCTTCAGTGGTATGCCCTCATGATCATCCATACACATGGCCTAACCCAGCAACTTGAGGTTACGAATCAAGCCCCTTGACGTTTCAACCACTGAGGTGGAATAAAACGACCGACTTATGCATTCTAACTTCTGTCAATCCAAAACCACAAACTAACTGTGAAAAGATACGACATGTCTCCTTTCAAATCCATTTGTATGTCGAGAATTAAAGGCATCAATTCGATTAGAAAAATGTAGAAATATTCAACAGTGGAAATTCTGAGAACGAAGCTACGTAATTTCCAGAAGCCCAGGACTCATTCAACGATTAACACACATAATACTACAAACCGAATTTACCAACCAAGCATCACAATTAAATCGAATGCATCAGAAATTTGGGGTATATATTGCCATCACCAGCCAATGCAATCAGTGAGCATCTATCCCCACATCCCACTTGGTCAATCCCATCTGACATAACTTCTTACTCACGAGTACTCCAGAAAACTCCACCCCCGAGTTAGTCAGTCGCTAGTGTTAACAGTAGATTGTTACTTTCTGAAATTCGCAAACTTGTATCAAGTTTCACCACGGAGGGACATCAGTTAGAGAAACAGTTAAAACTAGCTGGGAGTGCTGAACAGCTGGCTGTTTCCTCCTTGGCTGGTGCTCATTAGCAGTACGCACCGCCCGAGGTCCCACCTCAACGCCTCTTGGTTACACGTCAATCTCGTCAACCAATCTACCTCATGAATTCTAACTTCCAACACTTCATCATGTTTTGTGTGACCACCACTTGAAACAAATAAAACCCACAATCCTCGAAAATTAATCTAATACTCGGTGGTGACTGGTCACAGGACGAAGTTGTCTGAAGTTTTGGTTAGCAGTCGTGACCAAGAGTGTTCAGCCAGTAGGGAGTGTGGACAGATATTCAGCAGTCGTGAGAAAATCACGGACTCGTAGAATTTAGAATTCACGGATTGACCGCTGGGCTAGGTTCTGGAGATGAATGTTCAACGATTTTCCCTTGTTCACCGAAGGGTCCTGGGTTCGAACCACAGTGATTTGTGTACTCCTGATGAGTCCGAAACCTGATCGAAACAGCCAGCTCTCCGGCATTCTCATCTGGTTTCCAGTGCTTCTTTAACCGATATCAATCCGTTGTCAATTTTGAAACAAGACAGAATGCCTGTAAATTGGCTCTTCAAAATTCTGTGAATGCACTACAGTATGTATAAATATGACTCCATCTTTTTTCACAGGTGCGAAAAACAAATGAAACACGGTGGACATGGAGTGTTCATAAACTGATAAAATTTTACTCTCTGGTGATGGTGTGTTACTAATTCATATTAATAAACACTTTTTCTTTCTTAAAATCAGTTCTGCTTACAACCAGTCGTTGTTACTGTCTGAACGCAGGCAACCGATCTCTGTGGTCTACTGTATAGCTAGCTGACAGATACCTCCTCGAGTAAGACAAAGTGCAAAACTCTTCCGACGGTAGTAGAATGACAATTGTTCGCGATCAAACCTTGTGTACCACACTAAACAATGATAAAAAAACAAAAAGAAAAGTTACCACGACAATCCCATCAGGCAGCGATACACATGTAATTCCTTATCATTTACAAACTAAGTACTCTACAGTCGTAAGAAGAACCTGAGAATCTTGAAGAATATTGCCAACAAGGCGGAATTAAAAGTTTGTCAGAATCAGTCACGCATCAAACACTCACAGGAGACACTCCAAGTGCGAAATTCACGGGGTGATCTCATTCATACAAAATACCTATCGTGTAAGAAGATATTGTCAATGTCACCACATAACGTTCTCTACCACTTCACTCCCTATTTCTAATCTGGGAGTCAGTATAGTCCAGTCCTGTAACATCATCTTACATTTGGCCGGAGCTAATCACATGCCAAACATTCGTAGATTGCAGCTCAAGGTGTTCAGAAGACTCTGGTGGATTTTGTCAGCGTCCTCGCCTAGAAGGACTATATCGTCTGCATAGTATTAGTCAACGAGATTATTCCCTGGCAGCAAGTCAATCCCTGAGTCGCTGAAGTCACTTAGGGTTAAGTCCATTAGTACATATATGATGAAATTGAATAGAAATGGGCATCCCTGACGGACACCACTAGTCCTCACCACTTCAGACTACAACTCGCCATAAGTCCTCACCTGGTTGCATGAGTTCGAGTAGAGTGCCTTAGTCAGTGCAATTTATTTTCTCGTCATTCTCTTTACAGCCAAGCATCGCCAGAGTACCTCTCGGTCGACAAAATCGAATTCCGCCTTTAGGTCAAGAAATATAGTGATTGTTGGACGCCGGTAAGAATGCCTATGTTCTAGAATCTGTCGGAGGGTGAAGACATAATCAATACACCCTCTTCCTGGTCTTAAGTCTGCCTGACTCTCTCGTGTTTGTGCCTCCCGAGCACCACTTAGTCTACACAATATTATTGAGCCTAGGACTTTAGATACTATATTAGTCAAGCTAATCCCTCTGTGATTATCACAGGAAGACTTGTCTCCCTTCTTGTATATGGGGATCATCAGTGACTTACACCAACCCGACGGGACTTCTTCTGATTCCCAGACGCTGCCGAATACCTCAGTTAATGCAGACAGTAAACTGTCTCCACCGTACTTAAATACCTCTGGAGTCATTCCATCAGGTCCCGCTGCTTTGCCTTGTTTCAGACTAGAGACAGCTTTAGTAACCTCAGTCAAGGACGGAGGACCTGTGTCTATATCCCATTCAGGGAGGTGTTGGATGTTCGGCAGGTTAAGCATGGCTGTAGGCCAACTAAACTGCTCCTCATAGTGTTCTTTCCAGCCTTCCAGTCGTCTATCCGGGGAGCTAATTATGGTGCCATTTTTCTCTGCGATTGTTTCACTTATTATTCGCCTTTCACCACCTGTTTCCCTGATAAGCCTAAATAGTTGTCTGGTGTTGCCAATTGTCGATGCCTTTTCCATCTCTTTCGCTTTTGCCGCCCACCACTGTTCACGGTCGTTGGGAAGACTTCTTGTTAGTTTTCGTTTGACTACCTTTCGCTCCTCATCATAATCAGAGCTCACCGGAATCAGTCTTCTTGAGTCAATCAGTTCGCATGAGGCGATAGGGATCCAATGGCTCTTACTAACTTTTGGTTTTAGGTCATTAACACCTTTCACAGCTGTGTCTACAGCTAGCTGTATGTTGTGCCAGGCTACCGCAGGGGAAGTCCTGCTGTCGACTTCAGACACTCGTTTAGCAATTTCTTCCTTAAATAGGGACTCAGTGTCTCGATCTAGTTGGGGACGTAACTGTTTCGTTGCCGTCAATTTCTTATGTCCATTTAGTCGTAAGCATAAATGTGCGCGAACGAGAGCTTGATCAGAGTCTAAGCACGTATTCCTGAAGGAGCATCAGTCTTCTACTGATCCTCGCCAACGATACCCTATGGCTATGCGATCTATCTGAGTCCAGCGTTGATTTGGTGATGGAGGTCGCCAGGTTACACAATGTCTCTCTTTGTGCCTAAAGTTAGTGCTGACTAGGAACAGATGATTATCTGAGCAGAACTGTAGATGATCAACGTTGTCGGTTCGTCTGCAGGGAAATCCATACGTAACACCTACATACTTCTCACTCTGACACAACTTCCCTACTTGGGCATTGAAGTCGCCTGCTAAATCAACTATATCTGAACGTTTTGCTTTTTGCAGCAAATTAGACAGTTTCAGGTAGATATCATCCTTTAGTTCATCAGAACTGCTATCTGTTGGGGCGTAAGCGGAGATTACGAAAAGGCAACGATGGGTAGCGCCGTCTTTCCTTCTTTTAGCGGACCCATTCAGACGGACCTCACACATACGACTACCTACTGGGATCCAGTCAAGAAGTGATTTTTCCGCCCTAACACTCAGTGTTATCCCTACACCTGCGAGCTAGCTTAAAGTGAATTTCACAGATTCACCTTGTTGACCGGCTGAGGTTAAATGAATGACCACACCCAGGTCTTGTATGCGTGTCTCCGAAACACAACATACATCCATGGCTCGAGAAGCCAGAGTTCTTGCTAATGATGCCTGTTGTCCGATTTGGCAGATGGTCCAGACGTTAAATGCTCCTCTATGAAGTTGGCGACGTGGCTTTTAAAGGCTATCTGGAGTGTTTCTATGGCTTTCACCGTTGTATGTACTCACACAGTGAAGATGACTCACTAGCCTGCAGAATAGTACTTACTGTAGTAGAGAAGCAAGATGAGGAAGGTGATGTGAGTAAAGGAGAATGATGCTCAGGAAGGCTTCGTGTGCTCTTGGAAGTGTGTGGGCGGTTGTTACTTCCCGGCTGCCCACACTGTGGAAGTTGATTGATTCTTCGTGTACCTGAAACAAAGAGAGGGTTGATGTTGCGTGACCCCAGAGCCCAGGGGACAACTGCTTGAGGCCGGTCACACACGCTGTATGAACTGGTTTCTGGGATCGGTTCCGTATTAGTAAACTTGCCGCCGGTTATGAAGCACCGTAGGCTAAGTCGGGATGTACAAATTTTGGGGTTGACCTTTTCCAACCCCCTCTCACCGGAGTGGAGAGACAGCATAGCTGGCATGCTTGTCATCTGAGGGAAACACCTCACTGCTGTTACACCCCTGTTCCCCAGCAGTATGACTTCACCCTCAGACCCCCAGCATTGTGTAAGAAAGATTCTTAAACAATGCCGGTAACTGCTTTTAGTTTTATCGCCATCGGAACAACCTTCCTGGCATAGTTGGACCTGCAGGAACATTGGTTCCAGCCAGTGCAGCTTGTTGAATCATCGCGATGTGCAAGCCCGACCACCACCATCAAGGTAGCAGCTATCAGTCGGGACAGAGTACTAGACATATTTATCGTCCCTAGTTTGAGATTCTCCAGCTCTATCCACCGAAATCCTCACACACACACCAAGAATTGTACCTAGTGAACTTCAGGTCACGAGGCGAACCCGTTCATCATTCAACTCCACTGAGAAGGAATCTAATGATCAACCTATAGAATGCTAACTTCTGCCAGCATTCGCCAGATTGCCAAAGAATGTGGTTGAGAAAGAGCTGGCAAATACTTTCGGGTTGATTTCCAATGGTTCCCTAACTGATGTCAGTCAGTTCATCATACAACTGGAACATCTGTTGTATATACTACTGCATATACATTCAAGTTTTTCTACCCCCAGTGGCAAGTAATGCAATTGGACTGTGAATACACTTTATCTCAATTTCATACATATCCCCCTGTATGCAGGTAGAGTATTCAGTTGAAGAGTTAGTTCTAGTGATATTTGATGAATTCACTAAATCCTGCTTTGTGAATATAATTATTGCTTGTCGTTTTGAATTCGTATCGGGAAATAAAGGTTTTCAATATATAACTGGAGACCAGTAAAATATCCCTTCACACTAACAACATATTTGAGGAAAACAGTCAAATAACACTTATTCGAATGTTGGTTTTATAGCGATTTCAACGAAATATTCCCATATTGAGTCGTAAGAAAACGGGCGTACTTTTTACTTGCTCGTGTGGAGCAAAGTATGTCGGCCGTAGCCAACCAGAGGAGAACAGAGGAAGAACAGCAGCAACTCTATCCTCGAACACTTTGTCATCCCCGGACATCGAGTACCCCCCCCCAGCATAAATACTGCACAGCGCTACATAGAGTCCCTTAATACCGTACAAAGTAACTTCGCGACGCCATCTGTGCATAGATGAAGCATCAGCTATTAGAAATTTGAAATCGGACCACTGCATTCATAAGCGATACATACATTCACTCGCATACCGTGGCCAGAGTACAGTTCTCACCATACGAGTTGAAGACATGAAAAGGTTGACTGCTTTCGATCATAGATGTCTGCGATCTCTGTCTCACGTTAGGTGGTTTATTAAGGTAAGTAATGCTGACGTTAGGCGTAGAGCGTTGGGCAAACAGGGAAAATCAATCAACGAGGCTATAAAGTTACATAGATTGAGATGGCTAGGTCACGTGCTGCGCATGCCTAACCATCGCCTCCCCCGACGGGCATTACTAGCTGATATAGGTGCAGGTTGGAAAAGAATAAGTGGTGGCCAAACAAAAACATCATGGCATCAATCCATGAAATCCTTGACTGTTAAACAGAGTCAGGCAGGGAGATGCAGACTTCCGGGTTGGGGTCCTCGGGACTCTAGGAATCAATGGCTAGAAACAATAGGTGACATGGCTCAAAATCATTGTCAATGGCCAGCGCAAATGTATTCAGTCTCTGTAATCTTTCATATTCCTTTCTACCATTACTCATTCTGTTTCACTCTTATACTTGTCAAACTCTGTTGATTCTCTTCACTCATCTTCTTGTCTACCTTTGTGTGCTATTTGGAATGTGGCAACTCGAACTGCTGCACTTCGGTGCCAAGTTCTATGTTGAATCCAGACAGAGACAGACTCACCATAATCCTGCTTCTCTTTTTATTACATGAGTTCACTATAATTATTGTTATTACTGCTTTTATTTTATTATCATTATTATTCCCATCATCCATATTTTATTATCACTCTATTACTGTTTATTAATAACAGCATTGCTTTTTCATACAGATTTTATACAAAAACACTATCGCCTTTCCACTAGTTCCTGTTCATTCTACATGAGCTTATTAGTCATTAGTCATTATCTCACACTTATTACGTCATTCCAACTTCTGCCTCTTTTCTAAATTATAGTTAATTAGTCATCCCTTCTAGGTTCCACCTTACATTACTCAATACATTTTCCAAAGACAAAGTTTACCAGTATCTGTTTGGGGTCTAATGATTTCTTTGTTATACATATAACAACGATTGCACAGCTCATGAAAATGAATCGTCAGGACAAAAAATTTTCTTCGCTGTTTACGCCTTTTCCTTATAGGGATTTGATTCGATTGGTGGTTACAGGATTTCATCACGATGAATTGACATCAATCGATAAGAACACTGTTGAAAAACAAACACTGGAAGCACTGGACAGCCAGCTATTTCGTCAGCCTTAGTTTGAGACTATCCATCATCCGTGGGAGGCACCACCCACCAGAATTAGATCCAAAACCTTCCACCAGCTTACAAGGTGAACTGTAGACCACTAAACCAATGGAATCCCTAATCCAATGAAGGCCCATGAATAACAACTTAAACAAAAACAAGTCTTACATATGTATGTATGTATGTATGTGTGGGTGAATGTGTGTGTGTTTAAAATCTACAATTTAACAATGCATAATCGAAAAACATTACATGCCTCATTAAATAAAAAGGAGAAAAGGGAGAGGAGGGGTAATTTACAGTCAACAATAACGAGTGCCAGGTTTTCAAAAACTAACACGCACACACACACGCACGTTGCCATGGTTACAAGCTAATCAAGACCGTAATGCGTATTGTGTGATTGATAAATCGTCTTTGTTGACGGTTAAAAATACACACAACTAGAGACAATGCTAAGCGCAATATTTGAGGCGTTTAGCAGGGGAAAACCAGTAACAATCTATGAAAATATTAGAAAATGAACATGTGCTCACGTGATCACATTAAAACTAGTTTTTGCACACACACACACACACAAGTAGTAGTAGTCTTGATTATGTGTAATAAAACGAAGTGAAAACCGTAAATTTCTTGCTTTCTTCTTGAAGGCACATAAAATCAGGTAGAGAAATTTGAAGCGTATATAATAAATATACATCATAATATTGTGGACTGTAAAATTTCTCACACTTCCAAAGCTTCTTGTAAAAGAAGGAGGATTTCAGAATATACGTAGGGAAGGAGGAATTGAGATCAAGTGAGAGAGAGAGAGCGAGAGCGAGAGGTCAAGCAAAACAGGTCAGCGAAAAAAAGAAAACAAAAAGAAAATAAATAAAACAAATAAAGGTTGATTACAAGTTGTAAAAGACTTTTTCATAAATTAAAGGAGGGTGAGATTATTAAGTGTAAACTACACTTCTTTTTTGGAGGAGCACTGAATAAGACAGAATGCATACACTACGCACACACACACACGAGGGTATTTCGATTCGAAGAATTCATTGGGATTGGTCTTCATCAGAGGTCTTCATCGATTTCTGTACTTCAGGATTTAAAGTTACTGAAACGAGAAAAATGTAAGAAAGAAAGAAAGATAGATACTAGGAACAGTATATCACAGCAAGGTTAAAATCTTCTATTCTATTTGACTTCTTACCCCTCCCCTCCCCTATGTCTTCATCTTGAAATGCTCTCCATGTAACCACGTGTTCATAGTCTCTGTCACGTGAGTCACATTCACTGTCTTCGCAAAATTGAAACACAATGTGAAGACGAACTTCTATCACTTACAAATGGACTGGTTCAAAAGAAAAATGTTGATCTAATTAGAGGAGGCTGTGGAAAATCCTGTTTCTAAGCCTATGGTGTACATGAGTTCCAGAATCTGAAAGGATTGGATGGCGTCGCCAGTATTCATGAAAACTCAGCTCCAACGCGACGCTGTTCTACTACCTTTTATATCAGACTTTAAGACCCCACCTGGTCCGGTCTAAGCTTCCCAGTAGTATCACATCCCGTACATAAACTATGAGATTTTGTGTGGGGCATCGTTTGGTGCCCATAGTGTATCATGTCTGCGTTTCAGTAAGACTAACAAACAATCTAACTTCTTATTCTTTACGTACTGAATAGAACTGATCACCACATCTGTAAATGTTCGCTTCTTCTGCCAGTTTGTTGGTTTTCGCCCGCAAGTTGTCGAGTTTGTGTCACATTAAACATAAATCGTCCACGCGCGAAATCTAGACCTTCTACAGTTTTCTTATGAAGGCATACTCTATACAGGGAAAGTGAATCCACATACATCTATACTATCAAACAGTCACATTTATTATTTTTTATTATTATTCAAAAGAATCCAAATAAATTAACAAATCAATCAAACCTATTGATATTGTTTTTTTTACTATCGTCTACGCTGGGCTTTTTATTCCACATACCTTTAAGTTCTCAATGGAACATAGAACTTCTAGTTTCACCTTTGAGGTCTTAGTAACAGTGACACTCTTTTTTATCGGAAGTGGGGGATGTGAGAGGTGGGCGGCGAGGATGAAGTAGTGTTTCTAACCCGCAAATTCAACTACTCGCCATTCACCAAGTCTACCACTGGATCAGTAAGCTTGGCAGGCTGAGAATCAAACCCTGGAGGACCACTGCTGAAAAAACACTAAAGCGTTATTGTAAGCGCATTATCGCCTGAAATTAAGTCACGCGTAGATAAAGGCTATCGCGGTCCAGAACAAATAAGAAGCCGGTCACTGTTTCTACGGTACTATTAATAAACAAATCAATAATTACATATACAACAAACCTTAACGGTTTCAAGAGTACAAAGCACAACGCTTAACAGAAAGCAAGGTACCGCTATCAGAGCGTTATAACGTTAAAGCCGAAATTGCGAACTAGCCGGAATCAGACATGACCGTTCAGGTAAGCAGTCAGTAGAAGAATGAACCCAAGTAAGGCATGGCATAGAACAGAGCGGTTAAGAGATGGACAGAGCATAGGCAAAAAGATAGAATTTAGTTGGCTACTTAACCAGGTAGGAAGATACAGATGAAGATCAATAAATAAGATAAACTCGACAGAATAGTACAAAGTAAGACATGGGTCAGCAAAAATAACAGTTCACAAAATACTCTGATTGGGTCATGAGTTCAACTGTCTGACTAAACAGATCGAGGTAAAAACACATACACACAGTTCATTAAACAAGCAGGGATAGACACGTTAGGCATGGATAATTGGGTTGTAACAACGCTAGGCTGATCCGGGACAGATTGACTTGACTCAAGGATGTGAATTGAATTGATCTTAGTTATTGTTTCAACGATAAGATAGATGTTCACGAACCATGTAGAGGAAAGAAAAGGAAGATTCAAGGTGAAGCTAGTAACATTTGTTCGCCATCACTGACACTTCATAGCATGCAGTGCTTTATGTACCACTTATCAAAACATAAATGAAACAGAAAAGGAACAAATAGGAAATATGGATATACTGGACCGACGCGAAGAACCTAGGAAACGTGGATTTCGCGCGTGGATGATTTATCTTTGGTGTCACACAAAATCGATGACTTACATGCGAAAACCGACAAACTGGTCGAAGAAGCAGCCAGCGTAGACAGGACTCCAAGTGAACATAGACAAGACGGAAGTTATGAAAATAACCAAACAACCAACCAACAACAACAACAGCAACATCCAGCGTCAATCACCATCAACGGGAGGGATTTAAAAGAGGTTACTTCATTTACTCACTTTTCTAGGGAGCATTGTCTCAACTAAACGCAGTCGGAACGGACGAGGATGTCAAATCGAGCGAGAATCGGGAGGCGAGAAACACATTCATCAACCTGAAATCAGTCTGGAAATCTTCATCACTCAGCCAGAATCAACAACAAAATTCAGTCGGATTTTCAATACAAACACGTCAAGTCAGTCAGTTCTTCTACACCGATCAGAAACTTGGCGGGTGGGTCACAAACAATATTTCCAACAGGTTGCTATGCAGACCTTTATTAACAAGTAACTGTCTTCGCTCTATACTGAAGATCAGATGGCCGGGCCGGAAAGAATCACCAACAAGGAACTATGGGAACAAACAAACAAAACAAGAACCAATCGCCAAACCAACAAATATGCAGGAGAAAGTGGAGATGGATCGGACACTCGCTGAGGCGACCGCTGGATGACATCACGCGTGAAGCCCTCGAGTAGAACCCGAAAGTGAAGCGGCGAGTGGGACGTCAGTGCAAGGGTGACATGGAGGAGATCGCGTGAAGAGGAGTTGAAACAATATGGACTAACTAACATGGATGCAGTTGAAAAGTACGGCAGAAAGGAAGACAGAAGCAAGTGGAGACGTGCAGTTGAAGTCGTATGTTCCACTAGGAACCCAAGGGAGCAATAGTAATAATAATACTCACTCACCTTCAGTATTACTACTTTTATTATCAATATCAGTAGTAGTAGTAGTAGCAGCAGTTGCAGTTTCAGTATTAACAGGATTCAACTTCAACTTATGCATGTTCCCTGTACAATGAGCAATAGTATCTGATGAACTATTAAATTCATGTGTTGTTTTTGTTGTCGAATTTGTAATTGTCGTTGTAGTAAATGTACGAATTGAATTATCATTTGATGATTTATAAGCTTGATCATCCTGATTATCACTTTCATCATCATCATCAGAAGAAGAAGAAGAAGGATCAACTAAATTCGATCCGATGGTAATAGTATCATGATACTCTATTGATTGTTGATTATCTCTAGTATTATTATTACCATCATCATCTTTTGTCTCCTGATGTTCACTTTCATTTTCATGATGTAAAGAAGAAACAGAAGATGTTGAATTTGTTTTGAATGAATCATTTGATAATTCATCTTGTTGTGGTCGCGGTTGTAGTTGTGGTTGGTGGGACTGTTCCTTCGGCGGTTGTTGTTGCTCGTGTTGTTGTTGTCTCAATTCATTCAATTCATTTTGTAATACTCTACATAAATTACTCAATTTTTCAATTTTTTTATTAGCACTATTGAATTCATTCACTTTTTCTTTATGTTGTTCAGCTAATTCTAGTAAACTACGTTGACTAACTTCCCATTTACCTCGCCATTCAACAGCATCACTTTCACTTCGTTGAATACGTTTACCGAGCTAAATGTTTATGCGTAATATATGTATGTATGTATGTATGTATGTATTCATGCATGTGTGTATGTGTGTATATAGAGAAAAATAAAAAACAAATATTGCAATCACATTTAATGTTCATTGTTCCAGACAAATAAACAAACGAACAAAAAATTATCAGCTGACGAGTCCCAAATAGGACGAAATGCGCATCCTGGATTCCATGGCTAGTCACCATCCATCAATTATCTTAATGAAGTACAATCGGCTATGAAATTCACATGCGAAGAGGAATCCCAAGACAGAATTAATTGCCTTCCTGGATATCCATCCTACTTACAAGAAAACCAGATGGCAGCATAAAAAGAAATTTGCATAGAAAAAGCACTTGGACAGGACAATTAATATACACATTTTCACAGCTTCGTTCCTATCAAGTATAAAAGAAATTTAGTGAAGACCCTCAGGCACAGAGTTAGTTCGAGCTATATGCTCAGAAGAAGTCATTGAAGATGAATTAAGCATTGTATATGATACTTTTGTGGTGAGAGCAGGCCGTGAGAAAATATGAGCAAGGCTGATTCAACAACCAATCACAGCAAAGTTAACGTGGCAAAATATGATTCGCAGATAGAGAACTCTATTTGTCGAGGAATCCCGAAACAACCAATCAGAAGTCTGCGTTTGTCTGCCTAACTTCTGATAAACAACCAATCAGATGACTGCGCTTGTCTACTTGCATAAGCTATAATAATGTATGTGAAATATGTATAAATACGTGTTGATTTTCATAATAAAACGATCTGTTGCCTGGCCCTTGTCTTCTGTTGTTACACTTTGATCGAAAATGGCTATCCCGAAAAATTTATCACGAAACACATGACAAAGAAAACGCAAAAGGACTACTCACTATCTGTAAAAAAGACTACAATTCATGGGCGATATACCAAGCGAGATAATTGTGAAGAAATTAAGAAAGTCAGTTCAAAGAACTTTTACTGCTGGCGAACTACAAGTATTATTCTCTACACAACCGATGGTGATTCCTCGACTGAAAGATGAAGCACCTAGACTAGCCACTTCTAATTGTATCTATCAGTTCAACTGCGCTTGTGGAGCCAGTTATATTGGCTGTTGCTCTAGGAACTTGATTTTTCGTGCTCGAGAATATCTCCCAGCACAGCTAAGTAAAGGTGTCGTGAAAACTATTAACAGTTTGATATTGGACAATCTGGTGCAAACCAGCCACAAAGCCAGCGTAGATGAATCCTTCTCTTTATTATACCGGATGCCAAATAAATTACCAAAAACATCGAAGTACCGCATGCTCCAAACAGCAGAGGCTATTGCGATTCGCCTCAAACAACCAGCACTCTGTATCCAAAAGAAGCAAGACCAGCCCCTACTATTGCCCCGGCCTTTAGTAGAAGCTATAAACTCATGAATTTGTAATATTATCCTTCCTAATTCTTCTGAAATTCAGCTTACTTTATGTTGATGCGATTCAGCTGTAATCTTTCAATATTATTGATTCGATGTTATTTAAACAACATTAATGTTGTTCATAACACGAATTCATTTATTCATTCACTACAATGTATGTATAAATGTAGAGCCTGATGATGAAGGGGTTATCAAAAAGAGTACTCTTTGTTCAGTATCCATTCTTTTGAAAATGTTAATGGGCATTTTTAATCGGTTAAAATTTAAAAGCATTTACAATTTGATAATATTATCATTCGTAATTTCACAGATTCAGTTCCCTTCACCATCATCATCATCAGCTGTTGTTGTTGTTGTTCTTGTAGACTTACTTTCATTGGTTATGAATAATGACACTGAACATCACATATATGTTATAAACCAAGTTCAATTTTAACAATTTGAAAAAATTTCGGCTTTGAGTATTATGATGATACTCATTATAATAAAGCCTTTTTCTTCATATTTCCCAATGAATGAAAACAAAAACGATGTTATTCCTCCTACTGCTGCTGCTGCTAATAGCTTTATTAAACCAGAATTTACAAAATCTAATCAAGTATTGGTTTTGTAGGGATTTTTTTTTGATTGCATGGAAGATTTCATCATGAGCTGACATCAGTTAGAGAACCACTGGAAAACCTGGGAGTACTGGACAGCTATTTCGTCCTAATTGCCGAAAACAAACACCGAGGTACCGCATTTTTTTTTATTTTGGAAAAACAAACACCGAGGTACCGCATGCTCTGAACAACAAAGGCTATTGCGATTCGCGTGAAACAACCAGTGCTTTGTGTGTGCAAAAGATGCTGGGGACATCACTCGTACCTAATTCCCGTGAAATTTCATTAACTCTCTACAACATCAACCAAATTCCAGTACTGGTCCGACAACGTCGCCTTCGATGGTTTGACCATGTTCTGCGCCAACCAGATAACGATCTGGTCAAATCAGTTCTAAATCCCTCGCCATTTCCATCTTGGCGATGTCGCAGGGGTGGACACCTGAAAACATGGCTTGGTACAGTCAAGGCTGATATGGAGTGACTGGCTGGGGCTACAAACCGTCTACGGACTCCGTCTGTGGAACAAAACAAGAACTGGATAACCCTGTCGCAAAACCTTGCATCCGATCGCCGTGCCTGGGCAGCGATGATTCGAGATGTTCATGAAACCGGCTCATCCTCCCGTAGGAGATAGCCGAAGTAAAGTAAAGTAAGTATATCTTCTCATGGAGAGGCTAACAAATGATTTACAATTGTTGATGCATACACACACCACTCTACACCGCGATACACATATATATATTTTCATATTCAGTCAGTTATCTACGACCACGAACTTTTAGTTGAACGTATTCACAAAAAAATTTTCTGATGAAAAGTACACTCTGTTTAGAGTGTTTAACAAAAATAGACTATTTTCAAGAGTTTGGTTTGTAAGGATTAGTTTTGTTTTTACGAGTTGATCACGGATTGATGTCAGTTAGACAACCATTGAAAACTAGCCACAGAGAGTACTGAACAGCTATTTCATCCTCATTTGACAACCATTGGCAGTATGCATCCACTACACAGGGGGTTCGAACACAGGACCTTCCGGTTACAAGGCTAGCTAGCCCGTATACCATTCAGCCACTGGGACCCAACTCCTCAATGACCAGCCAATGAATTCCAACTTCTACCAAATTTGTGATATCAATCAGTGGTCAAACTCGTATCTTGAAAATTAATCTGATGCTCGCTAGTACCTTGCTAGAGGACAAAGTCTCCTGGAGTTCTAATGCGAAGTCGTGACCACAGGTAAGGTCCATCCAGTCGGAAGCGAGGAAAGAATCTCCACCGATGACATTGGTTGATGCCTATCGCGTTAAATCACGAATTGATAAAAGTTAGGATATCATTGACTGGTCATTGAGTCAGTGGCTGAATAGTCTACAAGCTTGACTTGTAACCAGGAGGTATTGGAGTTGATACCTCAGCGGATGCGTACTACACAGATGAGTCCCAGACTAGGCTGATGATACGATCAGCTTTCCACTTCTAACAGCTGGTTTCCAATGGGGTTCTTTAGCTTCATATCAATACGTGATCGAACTTGTAATAAAGAATAGATCACATAACACAAGAATTTAATTTCCAGGTCAATAAAAACAATCGATAGAGGTGTAAATCGAATACCAATCATTACAATGGTTGTCACGAGATACAGTTATACCATGATTCATTGAAAAATAAAAAAGCACTTCACCTTATAACACAGCTTGCGCTGAAAATGTTGTCTAGGAGAATAATGGAAGCTTTGTAATCACATGAACCCACTCAGAGAATACAACCAAATCAATATATATATATATATATATATATATACCGGAGTAATATAGGTCATTCTTCCCTTGTACTCACCTTTTCCATTTCGTCTTTAGCAGTGTCAAACAGTTTTCGACTTTCCGACATTGCCTTATTAAATGATTGGTATTTCTCTTTGTAAAATACAATCTATGAGAAATTGAGAAAAGAAAGATTTTATGAGTGATATTCATGAGAAAGTATGCAAATCGAAACAATTCCAACTATCGATAATTAAAAAAAACATGGTAAAGAGAGCTGTGCTCCAGTACTTCTGGGTTTTTAATGGTTCTCACTCCAACTGATATCACTTCATGAACTCGCTTCAAACCAATGGAATCCCATTGCAAACCAACACTTACTAGCAACTGACTGTAGGATAGAAGTTGTGTGTCTAGATTGTTAGTGAGAAGTTGTGACCGGTGAGAACCGCCACATCGAGTGTGAGAATATATATATTATTACTATTATTGAAAGAGAAACACATGGTACCTTCTGGACACCAAGAAATCTGCCACACAATCTCTCATAGTTTGTGTGAGGGTTGCGATACTTACTACCTGGAAACAAAAACCGATGCAGATGGTTGTCTAAAGGGACAAGACGTTTGGATTTCCCGCTTTCACTTTTTTGTTAGGATCACAATGTGGATGATGGTTGCGCTACGCATCGTGAGTTAGCAGAGGTAAGAATTCATGGGTTGGTTGTTGTATTCCATCTCAGTGGATGAGTGAATAGTCAAGAACCTCACTTCATAACTTCATGTATGGTGGGGGGGTATGAGTGCATAGTTCTGAAAAGTCCCAATCTAAAAAGATAAAGTTGTCACGTATTCCCAAGTTTTCAATGGTTCCTTAATTTCATAGCAGTCAGATCCTTGCAAACCAACACTTGATAGGAATATCTTTCACGTAAACCGACTTTTAAATCATGATGCACGAATATTCCACACCAAGGAGGGAAATATCAACCGCATACTCCAAGTCAAAAAGACTGTTACCTAGCAACAAGTCAATCCTTAAACCGTTTCAGTTGGTTATTTAGTTAGTTAGTTAAGGTCAATTCTATGAGCATATATCTACTGATAATGTTAAACAAAAGTAGGGAGACAGTACACATCCTTGATACTCCCAGCTAGACTGTACTAAGATGAACAGCTTTCTATCAAGAGTCAGCAAATGGTCTTCGTCTAATGGTCTGCCTTAAACTAAATCCTTCCAAATGTCAGACTGTCAATTTCAGTTCCTAGTGTAAACGAAAGTTAAATGAAGGTGTTGGTTCCTACGAAAGTTGCGAAATTGATGATAGTGAATATAGAAATCAAGTCTGAAGTAAAGTATCTTGGATTAATTCTTTCTTCTGACCTATCCTGACCTTCCCATGTCTTGGAGATTTCTAAACAGAATATTTCGTCTGACCTTAGGGCACTCAGGCATAACTCAACTCCTCCTCCTATTACAGTTTATCAACTCGTGCATCTTACCTATTTCTCTTTACTGTTCACCCTCTTATACTTTCCTGGATTGCTTAAAAAAGACTATGTCACACTTTGTAGAACTATGAAGACTGTCAGTTAAAAGGCACTTGATGTCATGTAACAAATTTGCTAAAGGAATTTTGTCAGACTGTGAGCACCCACTCTACCCGCAGCTCCAAACTTGTGTGTCTCCTCAGGTAAAACAAGAAGTCTTTTTAAAAGACCCTATACTCACGCGTCTAAGTATAAAAATTCTACCACACCATATTTAGCACGTATTTTATGGGATGAAAACAGTGTCAGGGACGAACTAAGTAACCATTTTCTCCACCTTTACAACATCACCCCCTTATTGTTATTGTAGGTCTTATATTTATAATCCTCACAAACTTTTGTTTTTATTTGTTTATCTTTTTCATAAGTGTGAACATCATTTTTAGCTGTGTTATAACTGTTAATTTTTGTATTTCCCCTAACTATACTGCTATATCAACAGAACATTAGATTCAATACTCTATAACATGCTAGAATTTTCAAAATGAATAGGCAACATTGTTTGAAACAAGCTCACTGTTATTATTATTATGGTTATTATTATTATTATTATTATATTTATTATTCTCATTTTGTACGTCGAATATTTTTCACTTTATATGGTAAATGTGGACAAATTCCTCTGGTTAATTTAACTTATATTTTTAATTTTCAAGTATTGGTTTTGTAGGGATTTTGTTTGATTGCATGGAGGATTTCATCATGAGCTGACATCAGTTAGAGAACCATTGGAAAACCTGGAAGTACTGAACACCTGTTTCCTCCTAGTTCGGGACTCTTCAACAGTACGCACCCACCGGGGTTCGAACCCAGGACCTTCTGATTACAAGGCGAGCTCGTAGACCATTGAGCCACCGGGACCTGATCCAATGGTCCTTGAATTCTAACTTCTGCCAATTCACGATATAACGCGACCACTTCGCAATGTCTTCTTCGATAAGTTACTGCCTCATCTTCAACCTGCTGTACCCTACTGGTCACGGCTTATTTTTTTAATTTTATTTATATTTTGAGTAAATCAGATGCAAGATACTGTGACAAATGCTGAGAATTCCATTCTGTATTATAATTACTGTTTTTGGAATAAAATAGATTATTATTATTATTATTATTATTATTATATGTAAAGAGAGACAGAGAGAGAGACAAAACGAAGAAATGTCTTTACCTGTTCTTTTAACTTATTTTCAATTGTTATTTGAATGTCTAAACGATTTTTCAAAGCTTTGACTTCTTCTTCTAATTGAAGAATTTTCTGTTGACTTTTCGCCTTTTCTTGATCCAGTAGACATTGAGCTTTGTTCAATTTTGCTTCAGAGAGTTTTAGTTCTAAACCACGTGTTTCCATAAGCTATACAATATCAGGGATAACAATGATAATAATAATAATTACACATGATACGCATATCATATAATTAACTAATATATAAGGAGACAAATAATGCATTACAATCGGTACAAGTACAATTCACCAATTACATTTTAACTATTCACGTGTTTTCCCCAGAAATGATAGCAGAAATTGACGTCAAATTCCAATAGACTACTAACTCTAATAAAAGTAGTTGGACTGAGACTAGAATTTATTATTGTTATTACTATCGCTCAAATTTGGTACATTACGGGCATCCGGAGGTGTGCCAGACAAAATCGCATGGTTTGTATCAGCACTGAGATACCTACCGCCCGGATGCACAGAGTGAAGTACATGGTTCTCTCAAGGCGACACCCCGGAGGCTTTTGACTTGAAGTTTGATCCATACACATCAGTAGAGCAGCATCAGGAGCTTTTCCATAGACACCAGAGACTAAAACAGGTTCATACACGTCATTCAATCCAATCGGATTCTGTTGCGCATGTAGACTATAAGTTTAGAATCAGGATTTGCCAGCTTCCAAAAGGTAGACTCCTCCAACTCTACCAGTCCGGTTGTGAGTGCCAGACATTCAGATTAACCGTATCACTCCGTGGGGAATATACTTGATGAGTGCAAGCAGTTATTAGGACTTATATGGCGGAGGCTATGAACGCCTGGTCACATGATAGCATTTTGACAGGAAGATCAAAGTCTACTCATCCTCAGCTGTACCAGGTCTGACATCTAGGAGTATAACTCCAATGGAGAACGATTTTATTCCATACAGAACACAGAGTGAAACACTGCTGCTCACTGGTGGACACATTTCGACAACAGTCTATTGCTCATAACCATATCGGGTTGCTGGCTCGCATAACTTTGAAACCTTGTTTATACAATTCCATTATTTATCGTCCTTTAATTTTATTGGTATTTAATATTTTCCATATCTCTGGTATTAGTGTGCAGCACCGTTCCTACTGAAGGTCAACAGAGTCTCTTCAGCTTACAAGAACCTCTACTTGAATGCCAAATCCTAATTCCCACTTTATTAGAATCCTATATAGGGTTTCCGATATTTCTTCCTTATTCGGTAAAACTGTATGTAGTTTAAGTTCTCCTTTATTTGTTGGTAGTGGTAATAATTTGAGCAGTTCGCCTTTAACTACTCATATCAGATAATCAGTAGTGTATATTGATTATACCAAAGTAATTCCTATTGATCTAAGTAAGTTTCTATGCAACTCAATAGCCAAGCCCAAGTTTATCTAACCTGATAAGCATTCACCTATTGTGTAATATCCAATAATGATAATATTATTCAGATTATGGGAATTGTGGGTGCTTTGGATTAATTGTAATTCCACGTTTGACTAAAGATTGATATCAGTTAGAGAACCATTGAAAACCAACAGGAAGTACTGGACAGGTGTTTCGTACTGGTTTTGAACTCATCGACAGTACGCACTCACTGAGTGTCGAACGCAAAAATTTCCAGTTACAAGTCAAGCTCGTAGACCATTCAGACAGTAGAATCCGAATCAATGGCCTATGAGTTCTAAATTCTACCAGTTCGTGATTTACCGCGACCAACCAGAAAGTCCTGGGGTTCGAACACCGATAGGTGAGTACTGCTGATGGATTCGAAACTTCAACGAAATAGCTTTCCAGTACTCTCAGCTGGCTTTCATTGGTCCTCTAACTGATATCAATCGGTGATCAAACTAGAAATAGATTTTTGAAATTAATTACACATGGCGGATTTTCGTCACAAACCAATATCAGTTAGAAAGGTCATTGAACCCCCCCCCAGGGAGCACTGCTTAGCTACTGGGTGCATTTCCCGAAGCTACAGTGGGAAGTCGTGAGTTGCTGGTGCAGTCCGCCATGTTAAGATGAAGCAGATGCTCACTTAAGGCATTGATGACGGAAGCGACGTATCACGAGTTGACAAAGTTACCATTCAAGGGCGTTGAATCCCAGTTCAAGTGGCTGATTAGTCGTCAACGTGAAGATCCCGGGTTTGATCTTTGGAGGATTTTTGGGTGCAGACCGACGAAGAGTTCCAGAATAGGATGAAACAGCAGTCAAATCCTCCTTGGTTTTCAATGATCTTTTTGATTGATATTGGTTCGTAACGAAAATCTAACCACTGCGATAATATTATCGATACTTTAGAAGGAAAAGTTTTTTATTCCCGGCACGATCATCGTTTAGAGAGTAGGTCTTCTTAGCATATACCAAAAAGGCTACGTGTCGACAGTTCTTGTTGATATGGGTCATGAAGTGGACACCTTGAAATTCTCTGAGATTATCATTGGACAAAATAATTCAACTCTTCACATCTAAGTATTTCAGTGACTACAGAATTCGAAATAAATAATAAACTGGCTTTCTTGGGAATTCTAATGACTAGGTGAGATGCGATAGGACAGTAATGCTATGCATATTTCACAAAGTCACATGGAATGAACAATTATCTTCGTCAAAATCAGCAGTAATAAGAAACATTTGTTTTCAAGGGTCGTACAATTTCCACGAGTGGCACACATTAATGAATGAGATATGCAGCGTACCACGCATTCAGTTTTGTTGGCTAATGGATAACCGGCAAATTCATTGTATGTTACAGTAGAGATAGACTACCCCCTGAAAAGACAACTACCATTCAAGGGTGTTAAGTCTGGAATAATATGATTGTACAGTTTTTCCTTAGATTTTGGTATATGGAAATATTGTGCACAACTTTTGCTCAAAATGATTCATTATTAAATATACATAACTTCGGAGTACAATCTAATATACAGTGGGCTGCTCAACGCTTCGTCTTCCCATTGATCCATAGTGTCTACTCATGTCAATGCTAACCCTCTCATCCCCATCTAAAAACTACTCTACGACCGGTCAGTCCACAGTTTTCACTAGTACACACTTCTCCAGATTATATTGATAATTTGTAGCAGTGAACTTTAACTGTATCACCAAGTAACCATGACTTTCTTCTACTTAAAGTGTATTTTTTTTATAATATACTGCTCCAATATTTTTTTCATTAACTTGGATTTTTATTCTAATATTTGTACTGTTAGCGAGCTCGCTATTAAGTTTCTCTTTTTCCTTACAACCCGAACATTTTCAATTCCAGTATCTGTGATTTAAAGACAGAATTCTGTGGACTTGCCTTCACACTGTAGCTTACATGCTCACCTGCAGTTGAGGTGACACACACACACATATATACACAGGTAGAACCAATAGAATGTTCCAATGTCGACGGAAAGAAAATGTTCCCAACTGGCTGTTTAATCATATGAAGACTCTAAATGTACTTAATATATGAAGAGAAATCCAACATCATCCATTGCATAGCAATTATTTTAAGTGTTTAGTCAAAAAAATCAATATTAGTGACTGTTCATTACAAATTTTCCTAAGTTGTATGCAACTAACGAAGGCGATGGACGAAATAACTGATGGCCTTATTCTCTAATCTGCACAAACAACTGGTATTTGCTTCATTCAAATTAATAAAGGAGGAATATAAATGCATGAAACTATATAAAAACTACTGATTGATTGATTGAGATGAACAGTTGTTTGTCACACTCACACACCAACTAGTGGTACGACTGCAAGTCAGATCAAAGTGTTGTAAAAATTTCACCACGAACTGTGTAAACTGTAAAATGACTTCTGAATTTCGTATCTGTTGTTGTTACCAGTTGGTCAAGTAGCTAGACAGAAATCGGATGGCTTGAATTGATTTGCCTCTATATCTCTGTCTCTAAGCTGATAAAGGCCTAGTGTATATACACCGACGACGATGAACTCGACCACAAACAAGCAAAACGACCATCCACCGACGCTTAGATCACTTAGATCCGGTTGGCTAGCAAGCAACTACTACTAATTATCTCAGTCAATCAGCAGTACATATACAGTTTCATGCAATTATGCTTGCTTTATCGATTATCATTCATGGTATCAAGTAGATCACATATTTTACGGACTGAACAAGATCAGTTTCCAAAGGGAGCCTGTGCTTGAACTGTGTTATTGTAAAACTTGAATTAGGCGATTTATAAATGCTGTGGTGTGCGTGTGTGTGTGTGAAACTAACCTTGTCCACGTGTTCTTCACGTTTCTCGTGTTGTTTAATAAATTCACCCAACTTTTCAGCTAATTCTTGATTTTCTTTACGTAATTCTAAATTTTTTATCTGATATTCACACAATTGATTTTGAATGTTTGTTATACTCGTTTGAAAATGATCAGATACTTCACGACGTTTCTCATCCTCAGCACGCGCTCGTGATAAACTTTCTTCCTGGAAATGAATAGGCATATAAAGACGATAGATAACAGTGAATTGATAAGGTTAAACCTAGAATTAATATTGTTATATCCTTTAATTCCTAGAGGAACATAGGGCTTCAGCCACGCGTCTCCATTGCCTTCTGTTTTCTGCCAACTTTTTCACCCCGCTCCAAGTCTGCCCACATGCTTTCATCTCCTCTTCACATGACCTCCAAGTCACCCTTGCACTGACGACCAACTCGCTGCTTCCCCATCGAGTTCCACTCGAGCGATGGCTTGTCTAGTGATGTCACTTGATGATTTCCTAGAGTATGGCCAATCCATCTCCATTTCTTCCTGTCTATTTGTTTCACAATCGGTCCCTGCTAGGTTGGTTCGCTTATTGCCAGAGATCACTGTTGCTGATCTTTTCTGGCCGGCCATCTGATCTTGAGTGGTATTGAGCGAAGACAACTGTAAGCGCAATATTGCTTGAAATTAAGTCACGCGTAGATAAAGGCTATCCCGGTCCAGAACAAACAAGAAGCCGGTCACTGTTTCTACGGTACTATTAATAACAAATCAATAATTATATATACAACAAACCTTAACGGTTTCAAGAGTACAAAGCACAACGCTTAACAGAAAGCAAGGTACCGCTATCAGAGCGGAATAACGTTAAAACCAAAACTGCGAACTAGCCGGAACCAGATACGATCGTTCAGGTAAGTAGTCAGTAGAAGAATGAACCCAAGTAAGGTATGGCATAAAACAGAGAGCGTTTAAGAGAGATAGACCGAGCATAGGTACAAAGATAGAATTTAATTGGCTACTTAACCAGGTAGGAAAATACAGATGAAAATCAATAAATAAGATAAACTCGACAGAATAGTACAAAGTTAGACATGGGTCAGCAAAAATAACAGTTCACAAAATACTCTGATTGGGCCATGAGTTCAACTGTCTGACTAAACAGATCGAGGTAAAAACACATACACACAGTTCATTAAACAAGCAGGGATAGACACGTTAGGCATGGATAGTTGGGTTGCAACAACTCTAGGCTGATCCGGGACAGATTGACTTGATTCAAGGATGGGAATAAATTGATCTTACAACAACTGTTAATGAAGGTCTGAAGTTTGTTTGAGATGCTCTTAATGACGCGCCAAGTCTCTGATCAGTATAGTAGCACTGACTTCACATTTGAGTTGAAAATCCGGATCTTATTTTTGATTCTGAGTGCTGTTGACCTCCACACAGACTTAAGAGTAGTGAATGCTTGTCTTGCTTTTCCGATTCTAGCTTTGATATCCTTGCCAGTTCCGCCTGTAGTTGAAACGATGCTTCCCAGGTAGGTAGGTGAAGGAGGTTGTTTCTTTCAGGCTCCTCCCATTTATGCTGATTGTCGTCTGTTGTTGTTGCTGTTGGCCAGGAATCTTCATCACCTCTGTTTTATCTATGTTCACCTGAAGTCCTATCTTTATATATATATATATATATATATATATATATATATAGAGAGAGAGAGAGAGAGAGAGAGAGATGATGTCAAAGGCAGACAGAATCGGAAAGGCAAGATAGACATTCATCATTTCTGAAATCACTTTGCCAATCTTCTACATTCCGCACAGCATAAAGAACAAAATTCAGATTTTCAATATTCCACTGTTAAGTCAGTTAGTTCTTTTATATTTGGTTCATAAACTTGACATGTACATCATAAACAGCAATTATGCTAACAGGCCATTGAAGACTTTTATCAAAAAAGTGCCTTCTCTCTATATTGAAAATCAAATGACTGGACACTCAGAAAGATGTATAGAAAGAAAAGACGGTAGGAACCAACCAACCAACTATCCAAGAACCTATGGCTCAGCAAATATCCCGAAGAAAGTGCAGATGGATGGGTCGGACACACAAACATACACTAAGCAGACCGTTGGATGCACAAGAACCTAGAGTGGAACGCGAATGGGAAACGGTGATATGGAGAAGAGAGCCGATGAATGGGTGATCGTGGGAGGGGGGGGTCAACTAAAGAGGATCGAAGAGAACAAAATGACAAGATGTGTTGGTAAAGTTTTATGTTTCACTTGGAACCCAAGAGAACAACAATATTAATAAAGTAAACTAAGTGAGGTTTTTGGGAGCAGGCCTGGGATAAAATCCATACCTCCCACGTGACTACCCACGAGCATACTCCACCATTGAACTACCAACGATGCACCCAACTTTGCAAAGATCATCCAAATTTTTGCTGATAAATTATAAATTTCTTTTTATTATCATTAAACCAACTGATCAGTTTCCATTAATGATAATGAAATGTATTCAAATAACCACTTGTGATTCCAAGCAGTTGGCAAAGAGTCACATCTATTGCGTGTGACACCATCTAGTGATACACTCTACCTGTCTACCCAAACTCTAGTAGATAGTGAGTGGGGTAGGCGGTCGAACCCACCACCTGGTAGTTGAAAGTTGAGCACCACACAACTCCACGATGATGACGACGATAGTGATGATATTAATAATAGTACCATTAAATCAAAAACCTGCTGATTTCCTATACTTCGAACTATCAGTTAGTTAAATATATACAAAGGCGTTTGAATAAATTCCAGTGTTCTCAATGACGAACAAATAAAAAAATCCAACCCAAAGATATCTATCACAGCCTACTAGTAACAACATAATGGATAGTGCTGTGAGGTTTTCAAGGCGATCTATATCTTTAGATCTTTCACTTTTAATGACCATGTCTCATATCAATAAAGAAGAATGCAGCGAACTGCCGCACAATACACGTCTTTTGACTGATATACTCAGATATTACGCTGACTGATGATAGAGATGACAGATGTTAGTGGATGCTACATTGGCTTTTGTAACACTGTGCTGAGGGGTTTCGTCAGCAATATGTCCATTAGATGTGATGTAGAATTTTGTAGATCGTCAACAAGAAAACAATTCAGAAGCAATGGAATCCAGGATGCGCACTTAGTCCTCATTTGGAACTCTTCATTAGTAGTGATGGCATAACCACAGGGGCTGGAACCCAGCAGCCATTGTTTCAAACACTAGAGTGTTATCCACTAGACCACTTGGGACAGGAAAATCAAAATTTAATTAAAAATAAATAATAAATGGCACCCGTTGCATAAGAAGTGGAGACTATCGTGGCTCAAATGGTCTAGCGTATACCGCTCGAGTGTTTGAAACGATGAATATACTGGGTTCGAGCCTCAGTGAAAAAACCTAGGCGAGATGGTGAATGACTAGGACCAGTAATATCTTAAATTACCAGGCCAACATTTTACCACAGGGACAGTGAGTGAGTAGATGACATTAAAACTGACTGCAGAAGGTAAGAAAACTCGTGAATATGGATAGTTTACAATATAAATCCAATTTGATCTGTGAATCCTATGAATAAATCCAGGATATGGTAAACACTGACCAATGAGAACGATAAGTAATAGAAAAGATTTGTAACTCAGGTGGATGATTTGTTCGATAAGTGATTGAGACTACGATCTAAAAACTAACAGCAATAACAACCAGTAGGATACATCGATGATCTACTGACAAATTAAAGGGAAATGTCAGCATCTCTGATGTCATCGATTTGAAAGAAAGATTTGCGTTTAACAGGGGTACCTTTGTTTGTGTAGTGTTTCGATGGAAGAGTTAAATGAATGTAAATAGTAAATCTAAAGCCCTTGAATGACTCATAATCTCACCTGAATAACCTTATTTTGCTTCTGCAACTCACGGCATAAAGTTTCAAGTTTATCCTTTTGCAGTACTAAACGATTTCGTTCATTTTGTAGTTGATCCTTTTCGATACGCAACTGAAATTGTAGGGGAGAAAAAAGAATGGAACACCTTAAAGAGTGAAAAAACCAATTAGAACAAAAGTTGAGTTGAGATAATCAATATTTTCTACATTATATATACTTACTTACTTTACTTACTTTACTTCGGCTATCTCCTACGGGAGGATGAACCGGCTTCATGAACATCTCGAATGTTTGTAAGAGAGTTGATGAAGTTTCATGGGAATTGGGTACGAGTGATGTCCCCAGCATCGCTCGGCCTTTTGTTTGAGAGTGCAGCTCTAGCCTTTACACAGCCAAGTGTGACCTACAAGGCAGTAGGAGTGGAGTAGGGAGTCCACTATCCATTGGCAGCCGGTGACCGGAGTCCGGTTCATACGCCTTTTTGAATGGGGCCAGACATCCAGGGCATCCAATAAGCTCTTTGTCCATACGTCTGCCGGTGAACTCCGGTGAGCTTCATACGCCAGTCGTTGGAGGTTTGGAATCAGGGTTTAGCCATCTCCCCTAGACTGTCATCCAATGGACAGTCAACCCGGTGAAGAGCGCCGGGCATCCGCTTTTGCCCTCTCACTTCGGTGAGAAACACCTCCGCCACGTGAAGGCAGTGAGTAGGACTTCCTCAGGAGAGGCTATGTAAGACGCACGGTCATATGGGAGCATTTCAAGAGGTGTACGGAGGGGTGGCTAGCCCGCAGCGCAAGACACCCACCCCCGACCATCCTGAGGCTTTGGAGGCCTACATTATATATACATATTTTCGAAAACCTAACAATCATTTCAGCACAAAATGTATATCGCCTTCCGAATAGAGGTACCTTTAGAGATAGAATTACTAGAACAAATAACCAAAGCTTGGAGTTTTGCATTTTGTACTACTTCGAGGCTTCAAAGGACAAAACTGAAGTTAGGTGGACAGTCATTTTATAGGATTCTGTAACCTCTGTGCGTCGGTGGCACAGTGGTTAGGACTCTCGCCGACCATGCACATGGTCAGAGGTTCGATCCCCTACCGGCGCCAACCTGATATCTATGGTCGGCCTGCAAAATTTGGGCTACCGATATCCATGCTCGAAATTCCATACTTGTACCAGAAATACAGTGTGGAATCAAGCTTTAATAAAAAAAAAGTAGCACGGCGATGAAAGCCATTCTGAATTCCTGTCTATACAACTTTCTCAACATCATACGTACGTCCATTTTTTCATTGAAAGTCACTCACAATTTAGCTAGTTAGGACCAAACAACTAACATTTTCTGTCATTCCTAGGTCACCATGAGCAGCAGCAATTTTCGATTGTTTTGCATGCCATTCGATCCTACTGTAGAATGTAAGGTGATGCTACAGGACTGGACTACATCGACTCACTTCTAGCTTAAACGTACGGAGTGAAGTGGCTGGTGGAGCATGTCGAGCATTTCACTTATTTGGAATGTGGCATCAGTTAACGCCTGCGGGTCGATCGCTGACAAAATCTCTGAACAGATAGAGAAGGTTCGTTTGGCATACGCTAACTTACATCATCTCTGGCTTAGCAGATGTGATATCCGGCTGTCTATCGACCGAAAGGCATGTGTAGTGCTCAGCAGTTTGTTCTGACCGCCTTTATGGTTGGCTGTGAGACACGGACACTGAAAGTGGAAGACATGAAAAGGCTAGCTAGTTGTCTTTGATCGTAGGTGTCTGCGTTCTATCTCCCGTGTTAAGTGGTATAATACTGTCTGTCTGTCTGTTTTCGACATAGAACTTTGTACAAATGTGCAGCAGTTCAAGTCGCCACACTCCATGTAGTACAAAAAGTAAGAGAAGAAAGTAGAAGAAATGCATAATAGAGACAGTAAACAGAGGTGTGAGACAAAAGAAGAGTAATAACGAAGAACAATATAGTTTCATTGGAAATCATAAGTCACAAGGAGTGGATGCATATGCACCACCCATGAAGAACGATTTTGAACCATATCACCGGTTGTCTCTAGCCATTGGTTTGTACCGTCCCGAGGACCCCAACCAGTTAGGAAGTCTACACCTTCATACGTGACTGGCTTAAACTAACTGTTGTGGACTTCATTGACTGGTGAAGCCATGTTTTGGTTTGACCGCCGCTAGCTAGCTCTTTTCCAGCCTCACCCTATGTCAGCTAACATTGCCTGTCAGTCGAGGAAGGCGATGGCTAGGCATGCGTAACAAATGTCCTAACCATCTCAGTCGATGTAATTTCACAGCCTCCTCGATTGATTTCTTCTCCTTACCTAGCACTCCACCGAGGCCTAACCTCAATATTGCTCACCTTGATATAATACGGTGAGTAATATTGAGGTTATGCATCCAGGCAATGTTATGTAAGGAGGGGAAATCACTCCACAAGGTTGTGAAGTTAGACCGATTGAAATGGTTGGGGGATGTTACGCATGACTGACTAGTTTCAAAGTAGACATTTGCACACATGCAGCAGTTCAAGTCACAATTCCATTAGCACACAAAGCAAGAGAAGAAAGTAAAATGAGATTCAAAACAGAGATAATAAACGTAGATATGTGGCAAAAAGAATAGTGATAGGGAAGAACAATATAGTTTTACTGGATAAGTCACAACGAGTAGATGCGTCTGCGTCTGTGTTACGCAGGCCTAGCCATTGCCTTTTTCGACAGGCAATCTTAACTCACATGGGATAAGGCTGGAAAAGAGCTGGTGGTGATGAAATCAAAACATGGCACCAATCAATAAAATCTACAACAGTTAGTTTAAGCCAGCCGTGAAGGGAGGTGTAGACTTCCTGACTGGTTAGAGTCCTCGGGAAAGTAAAAACGAATGAAGGATGGAGACAATTGATGATAAGTCCAAAAATCGCTTTCAGTGGCTGGCGCAGATGCATTCTCTTTGTGATTTATAATGTCCAATTAAATTCCACTGTTCTTAAACATTACTATTCTCTGCCCCCACATTTCTGTTTACTATCTCTGTTTACTCTCTTGTCTTGCTTTGTGTGCTACATGGAGTGTGGCAACTTGAACTGCTGTACATGTGTGCGAAAATCTAAGGTTGAAGCCAGTCAAGCAGTACTTTTTCTTCCAACAGACATATTATTTTTAATTGAAGATGTATTTCCCTGACTTTCCAGCGTGATGTTGCTATTCACAAGCGTAACAGCTCGTGATACATATTTGGAGATGTTAAACAATACTATTCGCGCCAAAACTGATGAGTACAGTGAAACTTTATGTGCATAATTTTCCTGTTTCCTTCATCGCTTTTTCTTCTTGATGTAGTAATATTATGTTCATCTTAAACTATTTGCTATCTGTAACTAATTGAATAATATGAACATTGGGACACTAAAAAAATCCAATTAAATAAGCTTATACTAGAACCTACATTTAATGTGCAGTTTTCAATTCAAAGATACAATTTATAACCAAAAGGATGAAGTTGTCATGGCCAACAAAGAACTCGAGAACCTTCGTATTCTACTCTTAAATTGTGAATATTTTCAAAACTGTATTGATAGAAACTTAAAGATACAAATCGCTTCTCTTTACATAACAGAGCCTAAGGTATTTACTGCTAAATCGATATTTAAAAGTGATACCACTGAGAAGTCACTGAACAATTGTCTGTATGACTGTATTAATAGCACTTTTTTCATACACCTGGTATACTCAACCTTGAGGATGATTCTGCAATGTATGAGGGGTAAACTAGCTTGCATAGACCAATGTTTATGTTATTTTATCTCCTCATATGGTGCTGATTACACTGAATATTGCTAACAAGTTTTCCAGATACACAAAACCTAATACTATGGAATTCAGTGAAAAATAAAATAAGCATGGGAAAATCGAATGTTTGCACAATGTTCGAAGCTGAAAAGTCTGTTCAGATTGCAAAAGAAGTCAGATGTGGCACAGAAAAGCTACGAATTTGTGAGAGCAGGTGGAATGAACGTGGACTCTCCAAATCGTTAACTGGCAACCGTTAATTCACAGTGCATCGTGATGGTGAACCACCTAGAATGGTGGCTACATTGCAAACTTAACTAATAAAATTCAGTCTGCACCAATCAAACGATTAGACATATTACACTAGTTACTAACTAGTGTCCAATCAAAGTATCCAAAGTTTATATACACCGAAACAGTTTTCCTCAGATTATGATAGTAAGATTCAACTCCAAAGCAAGGAAAGTCACAATTATCCAATTAGTCTCGGAAAAAAGAAGAAGGAAGATCTCGATTGATAACTTCAGACATCGAAAACCTTATGGACGGTATGTTAGACTGGAAGCAGAAAATTCTGGAAAAGAGCTCACCATGGGTGGAGAAACTCGGAGAAATAAATGAGAACATAGAAGTTTTCGCAGACCTCAAGGCGCTCAATTATTTAGCGATTGTATATGTAACATACAAACACAAAGACTTGCATAGAGCAGCATGGCTTTCACTTAATGGAAAAACTAAAAACCAGATAGACTTTACCCCAATTTCAAGATAGTGGAGACGCGTCTGCTAAACACAAAGTCAGGAAGGGAAGCAGATGCAGCGTCAAACCATTATATAGTTCACAAAACCTTCAAAGTCAGGCGAAAACCCTTCAGAACCGGGCTTGGACTAACCATCTCACGCCCCAAGGTTCGTTTATTGAAAGTGTACTTAACTTACCCTAATTCTGTGAACACAATGAAAATGTAGATTAAGTATAAGATAATATCTTTTGGTAAGAATGTAAAGTATCAATACCAGCCCCAGCTAGCATTTTTTTGGGTGCATTGCAACTTTTTAGGGCAAAACTTCGGGTAGATCTACTTACGTAGGACAGTGTCCCGAAGTCTGCCCCAAAAAGTCTGCAATGCGCCCGAAAGAAATGCTGGCTGGGAGCCAGTAACGTAAATTGTCATAAATGCAGTTTGTGCACCGTAGCTCCTTCGAAATATAATTAACAAAAGAAAAATATTGATTCCAAATGGGACATTCTACATCAGACAAACAAGTCAACGCTTCCCATGGAGTTGTCTTAGTTATCAGGACAAAAGTTTCAAATGTACTTGTGTGTTCACCCCCTACTTACTTGCTGTAAACTTTGTTCAAAATGCTTGCTTTTTAGAGTGTTTTCTTTTTGTTCTTGATAAAGATCGTAAAATTTTTGACAAATAAACTCAAACTTTACATCACTTGAGGTATTTTGAGGAAGTTCTTTCAGAGCAGAATCTAGAGACTAATATGAGTTGTTAACAAAATCTATATACCTATGAACTTCGCCTTTTTCTTTTTTTGCTTGCTATTGTGTTGTGCTTCCGTATCTTGTGGAGCTACAACTTTATCGGATCAATCATCTATGGAAACTTAGTAGTAACGCAACTGAAGTATTCCCGCCTCCAAAATCTAATTCAATATCCAATATCGTTCCTACGAGCTAGTATAAACCGATTTGATTTCTTTGTGCTCGCTTCTTGACTGTAAGGTATAGGTTCCTGATCTTTGGTAAACTTCTGCGTAGCTCGTCCCGCCACTCGACTGTCCTTGCTTTGGTTGACTCCAAAGAGAGTAGTGCTGGGATTAATTATATGTGGTTTGTAGTATGAGGTGTGTTAAGACTGTTACTACTGTGAATGGAGTTGATCCTTTCGCCAGTTAGTCCTCCGGTATCAACGACAAAGAAAAGAGATAGTAATAATAATGATAGACATAACTAGTGAAGTTATTCAGACTAACAGACAGAAAAGGATATAGGAAAGCGTAACAACAGTCAACTGATTAAATTTGGAGAATTATATATGTATATATATACATATATCGGTAATAATAATAAGTGCAGCTAAAGTTGTACGGAGAGTAAGACGGGAGAGAATGTAAAGAAGTAAAACGACGAGTTTAGTTGTCTACCCCTGAATGGTGTATGCGATTTTAAGGGGATAGGCCGTCCAATATCATTCCCTGATATACCTCCGTGGACATTGTAAATTTTTTATTTGAACCTCAAAATTTCGAGTGAAGGGGTTACGTGCACTCAATGAACATGCTGTTGAGTATTTCAATTCTATATTTCGAAACCTAGCTCTTAACACAATGAACGCAGTTGATGTTAAACAGTTCATCAGGTTTGAAAAACGAAATGGAATGGCAATTTCCTCAGGATTACTGAAACTAGCGATACTAAGTGAGACAGAGGGGAAGATTATTCCTAAAAGCTCATTTAAGATCAAGAATAGAAATTTGAGGGTAGTGTTAAGAAGGCCTTCGGAGAATAGAACTGGAAGGAGGTTAGCCACAGAGGAATAAAAGCTTCGATTAGAGAGACGAAGAGAACTTTAGGCATTGAGTCTTAGGGTTGAGGTGTCTCAAAGTCCATTGGCTTCAACACCCTTACTCAGAAGTCGACAGATGTGTCAGTTTACTATACGAAGGCGTGCAATCTAAGGAAGAGAATCCTTGTGTTAAGAGTAGCGCCAGAGATACCACAGCCTGAAGTCACAGCGATTAACGAAACATTGTTGTCAAGGGATACGAGCTCCTGTCTGCTCATACTGCAGTTCATATGAGTCGAAGCAGATAGAAAAGCTGGTGATCAATGAGGTGGGCTCTCTATATACATTCAGAACAACAGTAATCTAGTCAACGGTGTAGTCTCAGGTCGTGTTGTTGATCCAAAGAAGGGTTTTGTAACTACCGGGTTTATTTGAAGTCGATGATTTCTCACCCGACAATCTGCTGACTTGGAGTGCTCCAAACGGGTTGCTGACTTTAAGTGGTCTTACTGTCCGAAATAATTTAGAGGAATCAACATCGGCCGTCCTCTATAGACACTCCAACAAGCAAATGGCGCTTGCAGTTCATGAATACTGTGTGGAATCAAGCTGTAATAAAAAAAAATAAAAAAAATGAATGAGAACCCCTTTATGTGCAGTTGTGTTCACCATCATGATATAACCCTGAGTGAGAAGGGATATATAGGCTACATTATATGTCACTTCTAGGGGCGATAGTCACATTTACTTTCAAGACTCATGACCTCGTCCAAGTATGTGGCAGACAAACGTATCGGAAATACGTAACACAGCATACAGACTTGTAAGTGAATACTAATGTGACGGTCAAAAAAGCTTGAAATTTAACTTTCTACTGCTGTGCATGTTCCGCCATTTCACGCTTTTCTTTTAAAGGTAACCTATACGGACCAGCTTGGACTCCATTTCACTTTCCTCATTTTGCCTGGAATACGCATATCGTTTACTATGAGATGGTATAATGTGGCTGCCTAATAGCACTACCAGAACCTCGGTTCACTCCACACTACATCAGAATCATTTGAGAAAGGTAGGAGAAGAGTAAGCGGTGGTATATCAGCATCCATGAATAAGTCAGGTGAGGCAACTGAATCACATATTAACTCACTTGACTGTAACATCTACACGTCCTATGAGGTCACTGCCACTGCAACACAAGTGCCTTAAGTTATAGCTGATGATGCAGTGGTTGTTAGCTTGAAATCTGAACCGAAACCAGATCAGTCACCAGGGTCTTAGGGACTCCACCCCAGACCATTAGTCCACTTGATGGACATAGTATAATCACCACATAGCCAGATTTTTAAAATGTCTCTGATTCAGGCTCGGTCGATCACAGACCGGAAGGAAGCCAATTGTAGGCTTCATCTTCAAAAAAGGAAAGAGATACATGGTCGCCAACTATCGTCTTATAAACTTGAAGTGCATTTTAGCAAAGCTACCGAGGACTACTGTAAAAGGCCAGGTATTAGTTCACGTGGCGAAACTCAGCCTAATGCTGCTTGAACAGCATGGATTCGAACTGCAAAACTTACTGTAACTGGAGAAAACTGGGTAGAAACCGATGGCAAAAACCAACGCTGGACGCTGTCTTCTCGACTTTAGTAAGGTATTCAATAAATTCAATGTTTAATTCTCGTTGGTAAACCAGAAGAAATTGAATTGGACAAATACATACATGATTCGTTTGCGGGATACCTCCTCGTTAGAAGGCGTAAAGCACGATTAATGATATAGCGTGGGTGTCAATGCAATTGAAGACTGAACGACCAATTCATGGTTGTTTGCTCAAACACAGCTACCCTATATTTTCGCGGAGACATAGATACGCCAGTCATCATCTCATCGGACGCTGTTAAGAAAGAACCCAGGACAAAACCGTCAGAATTAATATTGTGATTTATTATTGCAATATGTGTTCGTAGACCTTAGATGCAAGCATAGTTTCAAAGTTGGCTATATGTTGGTGTTACAATAAAGAATTCTCGAGTAGCCAATCGGTGTTTTGGTTTTGCGTCCGTTACTACTAAGCGTTTCCGAGAAACTTCAAGGAACAGCGTGATTCCCAGGGTAGCAAGAGCTGGGCATTGACGGTTTACGAGACGTGGCCGACAGTTTCTTACAGTGAAGTCAGTTTCTGACAGCACGACTTTCGATAGTCACCGTTCATCTTTCCTGGTGCCGGCCAAGTCCTCTTTGAACAAGCAATATCTGGAACGTTTTTGGAATTGGGTCAAGTTCAACAATGCCTGGGTCAAAGAAGGGACAGAGCGTCTTGGATGCAAACAGGAAAGTAAGTCAGGGTGACTTGTCTGTTACTTGTAACGATGTGTCTGATGTTAAACATGACATGGTTGATGTTACTGTTTCGCCGTTCAGGGATAATAGGAACATCAAACTCCCAAAATTTGAACCACGGTGTTTCGATGGAAACCCGGCTGATTATTTACAGTTTGTAAGGGAATTTGAAAACATGTTAAGTGGTTTTTTATTAACTGATGAAATGAAGTTAGTATATTTGATGAGATATTGCACTGGAGATGCTTCAAGAGCTATATAGTGCTGTAAGTTTATGAAGCCAAAAGAGGGCTACTACGAGGCTATGAGCATATTACGTCAAAGGTTTGGAAGACCTTCGATGATTGTAGGGAACGTATTCGAAGCCGTTAAGGGTAATGGTAGACAACTAAAAGATGACTCCAAGGCACTTACTGAGTTTTTGGATAATCTGATGACTTACAAGAATGCATTGATTTCGATGAATTGCATGAGTGACCTCAACTCGAGTTTTATACTAGAAGTAATAGCAAGACGCCTACCTACTCGACTGCAAAGGAAGTGGGTGAAGATAAGCTCCCGTATGGAGGATGAGGGTATCGAGCCAAAGTTCGATGACATTCTGAAACTGGTAAACAATAGTGTCAATCAATCTATGAGCAAGTTTGCCAGTATATTGAATCTCACCCCTAGAATAGAGCAGTCTGAGGGTAAAACGCAATCATTGATGACGAATAGGCCTCAGAGAGGTGGATATCGAGAAGGCTCCATGATGTCTAGTAATGCATATAGACCTAGTGAGTGTAACAGGTTTCGTAGTACATCCTCAACAGATAAGTTACAAGATGCAAGACAAACACGGTTGTGTTTTACACGTTTGCAAGAGGTGCATACAAAGGTGAACTGTGAACCAGTGAGCAAGTTCAGTGATAAGCTAAATGTGAAATCAAGGTCTGACTCCGAATTGTGTGACGATAATAGCGCGGTGAAGAAGCCTGTAGTTGCAACTGGTAAGCCATTGTTGAATAGTATGCCACAGAAGAGAGTTACAGTTTCGGAGCCCAGTTCTGACTCCACAAGTTTACAAGGTATTACTAGTCAGAGTGAAGGTATAAAATCTTTAGGGATTTGTGAGGAGGAACCCAAATCATCCACTGCTGTTATTAAAGAGTTTGAAAATGATGAAGTTGACGGTAAATTGAATATTCGTGATAATGATCATGATAGTGCAGATTTGTCTTTGGTTGATCATGATGAAATGAGGGATATGCCTACTACTGCTAAGTTGAATAAAGGTTCTGTACAACTACAACGTGAAGTGGAATTGAATGCAGATGCAGTTGCAGAAGGTATGGATACTTGTGAGACCGTCAGTGTAATTGATCAGCGTGTAGCCCACCTATCATCAGATGCTAGTGCTAAACCTGAGCTAGAGGTAAAAGACAGCAGTGGTGGTAATCTTGCAGTTAGACAATTTTCTGAAAGCCGAACAACAACAGCTTCTGATCCACCGCTAAGTTCATCAACTGGTATCAATCAGTCGTCGTTGGTGTTGTCATCCACAATGAAACAGACGCCCATCAACTCAAGTATCTTGTGCAATGACTATGATAGTATTGGTGCATTTGAAAAGACGAAAGATATTGCTCAGTTTAGTGAGAATAAGCCAAGTGTAAACGAGAGAGTAATTGTTAAATTGACTTGCATGAATAAAGGCATTTCTAGTTTCAAGTTACTATTTGAATGCTATTATCTTTGGTGTAAATTACTCTGTTTCTACGCTTGGTTGACCAGATACGTCGTGTGTTTGTTCGTCATCTATATTTTACGATACAATGACATGGGCGTGTTACTGTTCAGATTTGAGGATATAGCTGATAGAGGGAAGTCAGCAAATGAACTCTGCGACGATTTTCCAACCTAGAGCGTCAACCTGAGAAGGGTTGTAGGCGTACTGCTGTAAGTCCTACAATTCTTCAAAGGGTAGCGCATCAATGAGCAGTCCAATGTGCTTGGTGTGTGATTTTGTACATATGTTCATATTGTATATACTGAATTGATATCATCTGTCATCTAGCTGTTGGTAATTCTGTTTGTGTCCGGACGACTTCCACTTGGATCATCAACCTGAGAAGGAATGTAGGCGTACTGCTGTAAGTCCTACAGTTCTTCAAGGGTAGTTCGTCAGGGCAGAATCCACCACATTTGATGTGTTGATTGTACATATGTTTGTGTTAAATAATTGTGTGAGTTCCAATTATTGTAATTGTTGGTTAATCTTGTTTGTGTCCGGACATTCCACAACTTACAATCGTCAACCTATGAAGGGTTGTAGGCGTACTGGTGTAAGTCCTGCAATTCTTCAAAGGAATTCCACCAAGACATGATCCGCGAGGTTATTTGTACTGTTTGTGCATACGTGTGGTGTGTGTTGTGGTAGTGAGTATATTCGGTAGTGGGTAGATACGAGGATGTGTGAAGAGTATCATGAGGTGCTGCTATGGTCACGTTGCATTCTGCAAGAGTCATTCTAGCAAGTGGCGATTGTGTTGCAAGAGGATGTGTCAAGAGGATGCCTTTAACTGGAAGGCGCAGGTCGTCACCGATGTGTGAGATTGTGCTGTGGGTATGCTTGTGGTGTGTTGGCTTTTCTGTTTGTTTTCCATTTCTGCTCTGTCCGTGTGACCCAGGTTCTCGCAATGGCATCCAGGTCAACGTGTATTGGTCGTGATGGAAAAAAGGATGGATCCCTTTTTTACCGGGGAGTGTCAATGTAGTTGAAGATTGAACGATCAATTCATGGTTGTTTGCTCAAATCCAACTTCCTTATATTTTCGCGGAAACATCGATACACCAGTCATCGTCTAATCGGTCGCTGTTCAGAAAGAAGTCAGGCCAAAACTGTCAGAAACCTTAGTTAAAACCTAATTTTAAGGTTGGCTATATGTTGGTGTTACAATAAAGAATTCTCGAGTAGCCAATCGGTGTTTTGGTTTTGCGTCCGTTACTACTAAGCGTTTCCGAGAAACTTCAAGGAACAGCGTGATTCCCAGGGTAGCAAGAGCTGGGCATTGACGGTTTGCGAGACGTGGCTGGCAATGTGAGTGTTAAACAGTATTCAGTCGTCCACCGCCTTCCTATTTTACATTTTATTCTTATTCTACATCAGCAAACTTGTAAAAATTCTTCTTAGCGTACGAACTCCATATCTTTTGAATTCCCAATCAATAATGATTAAGAATAAAATCCACACGTCACTGAAACAAAACGAAAAGCATAATTCTATAATGTAAAACTTCCTACCGGACTAAATGGTTTCCACGAATTATCTAAAGGAAATCTTGTAGGTCATCTGAAGTCGTAACTAATCTTTCATCGATTGTGATTTGATTAGCTATGTCTGGCATGCACTGCTCTACACACCTAATCTCAAAATACTACTATTATTATTACCCCCTTGAGTTTCGAGTTGAACATTGGGCCTCGACAACACACCTCCGCTTTGTCCAACCTTCTGCCGTCCCCTTCAGCTTGGAATACTATTGCCCTCAGTTTCACATCTCCTCTTCACACGGTCTCCTCCACGTCACCCTTAATGTGACGACCCACTCATCTTTCCAGTTGGGATTCCACTCGAGAGCCTAGCGTGCGATTTCATCCGACGGTCTTCCCCAATGTATGCCCGATCCACCTCCATTTTCTCACACATATTTGTTGAGCAATTGGCTGATGGTTGGTTTGTTCCTGCAGTTTCTTATCGTTTATTCTTTTTGGCCCGCCATTCGATCTTCAGGATTGAACGAAGGAAGCTGTTAATGAAAGTCTGCAACCTGTTGGGAATCCTTTTCGTGACACTTTAAGCAAGTTTCTGACCCGTATAGAAGGATTGACTTCATATTTGAGTTGAAAATCCGAGTCTTTTCCCGTATGTTGGGTGCAGAAGATTTCCAAACACACTTTAGGTTGATGAAGGCATATCTTGCCTTTCCGATTTTGACTTTGACATCTTCGTTCATTCTGCCTGTAGTTGCAACGATGCTTCCCATATAAGAGAAGGAGGCAACCTCTGTTAAATCTCTCCCGTTGATGACGGATGGTGCCCTTTGTAAGTGATGTTGTTTGGTTGATTATTTTCATAACCACCATCTTCTCTATGTCCGCTTAGAATCTTGCCTTCTCTGCTTCTTCAGTTAGTTAGTTGGTTTTCTTGATTCAAGTATAAGACTTAGGCACTGTGGTAGATACGATTTTATTTTGATAAATCGCACAGTGCTATACAGCTATATTAACCGATGACCTTTCGTACACAAACTGTTGCTCACGATCATATCACATCACTCACACAACTTTTTAATCTATCTATATGGGGGAATTATCAAGTATCACAATAGTGCAACAGTATATTACAAAAATGCAGCTAACGAGTTGTATAAATCAATGGTCACTTGATGATATAGTTAAAGTCCGCTGCTACAAATTATCAATATAATCCAGAGAAGCGTTTACTGTTGGGGCCGTGTTTATTAGTGAAAACTGTGTACCGGTCGTAGAATAGTCTTTAGATGGGTATGAGAGGTTCCTGCAAAACCCAAAGTAGACACAACATGGTTTGTAGTTATGGGAGTAGACAGTATGGATCAGTGAGAAGAAGAAGAAGTGTTGAGCAGCCCACTGTATATTATGCTGTTCTCCGAAGTTGTGTATATTCTATAATGAATGATTTTGAGCAAAAGTTGTAAACAGTGTTTCCATTTTTAAACTCTAACATGAATATGTGCGACCATATTTTTCCAGGGCTCATACAGATACATTTCGGACTCAGAATTCAGATTTACTGGATAAGGGTAGAAGGCTTGGAGCCTTTGTTAATCCTTTTCTGGTAAACTTCTGTGCTTGTCCAAACCCTTGTTGAATGAATCTGTTGAGGTTGTGGATCACACTTTTTCATGGAGTCAATTCCAGGAGTATATGGCTCGATGCGAGAACCAGTGCTCAACACCAATATGATTTCATCGGCTTTTGAACTATCCTGATATGTTTACTAAGGTGTTTTGACCTGGCGGGAAGGAAAAGAGGGAATAGTTCAGGTCCGAAGTCATTATTCAAAGTTTAAAATCTCCTCTCTGCCTACGGTGTGACGGAGAGTAGACATTTAAACTGTCTAGTCTTTCTTCGTATAAGTTAGTCATGCCGAGAATCATACTATTGTCTTCCTCTGGACCCTTTCTAGAATATGTGGGTCCCCTTTAAGACAAGGACTGGCTGCCTCTATACAGTTTTCTAGTCATACCAAGGATGTACATAAGCAGGCGAATATATCTTTGGTGGTTAACGCTCAGAGAAATGCCCACGAAGATCTAGAACTACTTGCAGATACTGCGCTGTAGTTTTGAAATCATGACTTTTTAAGACACCTAAATCCAGTGAGTCTAAACTGATGGCAGTGTTGTTCCCTCTGGTTCGTAGGAGCCGATGTCTGTGTGTCAAATGCGTATGGTTGTGCATTTCGCTATATTGATCGGGAGCATCCATTCTCTGAACCACTCTGGGGTTTGTTGAGGTCTTCTTGTAACATGAGGGTATCGGTGTCGCCCTTTAGCCCTCTACAGATTTTTAAGTCATCTGAGTATAGGACCAAAATAGAACCGGTGAGCAGAGATAACTCACTGACATACAAAATAAATAGGAGAAATCCAAGTGCCTGCTGTGTGGCACTCCACTGCCCACTGATGTCCAAGAAGAGTGTTTCCAGTTGATCCTAACCGTCTGTCTCCTATCTGTGAGAAATTCCCTAAGCCAGTTTAGTAACCTGCCCTTGATGCCAGGACTTACCAACTTCGTGAGTAGTCTTTTGTGATGAACTTTATCAAAGGATTCACAGAAGTCTATGAAGATGATGTCAACGAGTCTTCTGTTGCCCCCTGATCTGACCCAGCTTTCTCGTGCAGTAATATCTGACAGGTTTCATCAGAAGTCATACTGTGATCTAGATAAAATGTTGTTGTTGTCCAGATATGCCGCGATACTTTTCTTGATGGTTCTCCCCAGTGCTCTGATTAAATTGATGGCGGGACTAATAGGCCTGTAGTTACTATGGCGTCTTTCCGGTCACGAGGTAACAAATCCACATCCTCCCCATGGAGGAACACTATGTCTATAATCGAAAATTAGTGCTGTGAGTCATAGGGCTTGGGCTCCACGACATGTTGGAATAAGGCTATCAGGATTCCAGATTCCAGCAGCATATGCTCAAAGCAGTTGTCTGAAGATTGTGTTGCAAGGATTTTCCAGTCAACTGTCGGGGCGCTGGCACAGTTCACTACGAAACTTCGATACTTTGATGTACAGGAGCCTAGCATCTCTGTTAGATAGTCGTCTACTCCGCAATCAGGACTGCGGTGTATAGCAATGAAATCAATGTCTGGGCATATGTATCCAAGTCTCCAGCGTAGATGCTTGCACGGTTCACTTTTGTGGGTGATCGCTTCGATGCTGTGCAAGGTTAAGTATTTCTTGAGGTAGATGACCACGCTACCTCTTTCGAGGCTAAGTCGGTCCACCTAGCCCATCTGAGGGTACACTAGACCAACGCTGATGATAGTGCTCATGGGAGGCTTGGAGCAGTGTCAGATAATCCAAGGAAAAGTATTAAGGCGGTTTGGCAAAGCTCGAATTTCGTCTTATTTGAAGTCTGCTGTATGGCATCACCAGATTGGCACCTCACGAAGGGTGAGATGGGTGGACATTTAGAAGCAGCGTATTCTCCCAGCTTTCCGTAAATTGACCAGTAGTCTATTCATCCTCAAAACATGCGCTTCTCTCTACGTTTCGCAGGTCACAACTATTCGTTTGTTTCTACACATTTTCCAACTGAGGTGTCAATCTTCTGCATCTGGAAGTGCGTCTAGTAAGATTCTTTGTTAGAGCAAACGGCATAAGCACTTTTTGTATATTCATTGTAAAGGCTAAGATAAGGGTTATTACGGACTTGAAGCTCACTACTCCTGATAATCTATAACCTTCGGCTGTTAAATATTGGTTGTTGGACTAATGAACGCCTGGCAATTCGAATAAGTCTAGGTCATTAAAAGGACACTCACATTAACGACCATACGGCTGTCAGAGTGGTAATTCTTTTTCATGTTTAATATACTAATTTCTTTTATTACGTCGATCGATACTGGTTATAAACCTGGATATTTAGGTTGACGTCATACCGAATGCAACTAAGCTCTATCACTTCTATGAGATTTTTTTATGTGGAGAATGTCATAGTTTTTAGTTGTATAATGTCGTTTGAAAAGACTTAGTCCTTTATCATTAGATTCTTGTGTCTCTATCACGGTTGGTAGTCGATGCTTCGAAGTGGTGGGCGTATTTTCATGTTGAGGTGACCCAACTAGATCAGGTGATTTAAACGATCATTCCTGATGCAGTCGACTAGGTGGGATCAGTGCTTAAGATACCTGACGTCATAGTAGAAGCGATGGGTGGTAGTAATTCTCTTATGGATAAAATTTATTTTGATTGAGTCTAACTGTGTAATACAGTAATATTTTCTGATGACGTTTCGAGCAGAATTTATTGCTCATAATCATATCTAGGTACTCGCACAACTCGCTTGCTTCGTTTATATACATGTGTAAGGACTGATCAGACACATTAGTAAAGTCAATAAAAGACATGTCTTAATGGAGTTTCGCAACTCCAATACCCATCTTCATTTGTCCTATTAAGTTCAATAGTGTTCGTATCTTGGATCGACATTTCAAACGCAGTAATTTAGGGATATCTGTAGTCTAGCGCTGGGTGATCATCACAAACCCCTCTGTTTCAAATGACCTGGCTTTATATTTGGACAGTAATCTGTTGCATAATATATTCGACTGACAACAGTTTGGTATATTAATTAGTAGCCAATAATCGTAGATTTTATGAAAGCTTAGTGAGTCCTTTGTATTCGTTTTGAAACTTTGTCGACCACCAATTTACTGGACTTGCTGAGCACTTCGATTTCGCAAGACGTGGGTTTGAAGTAAACATTTTGAATACTTCTCATGAGAACCTAAAATTACTATTTAATTCTGGATAACTGCGTAAATTAACGGAATTTTGTCGTCTTTAAAGTCTACAGTGGGCTAGGAATTCTACGATATCTCGATATCTATGAAGTAAATGTGGGAACAATTGTAGCAAAATATCTCACCATCAGACTTTTCATGAGCTCTAAAACAAGGCAGACTTTCAATAAGGTCATGATGTTACCATCACCCTTTAGTTTCAGTGTATCAGGTCACGAAACAATTGTTGCCATTTAAAGAAATTAACAGTAGGATCTGAAAACTCCTGAAGTCAATCAATTACAGTTAAGATCACCAAGAATAATTCCAGCAGAGCTCATTTCACGTTGAAGTTAGCTCTGAAGATGTCTAAAAGAACAATGCGAACTTCTGAATTAAATCATCTAACGTAGGATACATAACTACGCAGAAAAACTTACATCAAGTGAAGTGACTGAAATTATTTCTCTCATGCAAAAATACCTTAAGATACAAGGCAAATATGAATATCTACTGACTCGGTCTAAGGCGCATTTTAAAATTTAGACCTTCTTTCAGTCTGTAGGACAGTAGAGGGACGTCAGGTGATATTTCACTCTTATTTTGCTCTACATGTGGGATTTATGACAACTCTATCGCTATTTTGTCAGCAGTGGATAGTGTTTGGTGGATGGTAGCTTTCAGTAGGATCCAGGACGTTCACTTTGTCCTTTTGGTATTCGTTAGTTAGATGTAGATGCAATCTCCAGTGAGTAATGGTGTTCTCACTGAGACTCGAACCCGGTACTCTCCATTTCAGGCACCGAAGCGTCATCCGCTAGATCACGTGGATATTATTTAGTGTATTATTAAAGACCGACCAAAATGCACCGAACAGCTGTCTCATTCTGCCCTGAAAATCTTCATCAGTGCGTACACTTGATCCCATCGGAGATCTGCCTTAGAGCTACCATGTCACTAAATGAGTATGTTATAATTCAACTATGGAATGAATTGTAACTACCATCATTTTAAGATATAACACCACTGCATCCCGGTGATATTAGTGAGTAACTGTTTATCAGCCAATACTTCCGAAAATTTCGACAGATTCATTTCAAAGCGAGCTAGTCACCGATGAGTAATCGATTAGTATTTAATAATTTATCGCACAACACTAACAGACCTACAAAATCCTTATATACCAAAGATCTTGATATTATTTCCCTATTCTTGTCATTTTCGTGATCCATTTTGTATTACTCGTACGTTTAGCAACTTCGGTTTGTGATTTGTTTGGATCCCTATTAATCTGGACATAACATAAAATAAATCTAGTTGTTTTCTTTATGTTTCATATACTAATGTTCGTCTGCCCTGCAGTTTAGTTTTGCTTGAATTTGAAGAATGGTTAGTGCTCTTAATCAAAGCACGTGCTATCAGTCAACTATAAAATTGGAAGCATAAATAATTATAGCATGTCACCCTCGAAGTGACATCTTACCTGTCACTTGCCATTTGCATTCTTTTCGAAAACATGGCATGCAACATCATTTAATGGTCTCCTCAGCTTATGTTCAATCCATCTCCATCCTCTTCTCCGTATATATATTGATTAGTACTTTATCTACCTGCCAGATTTCCTTGTTGCTCATCACCTCTGACTGGCCATGTGGTCATCAGTCTCGAGTGAAGGTAACTGTTGACAGAAATCCGCAGTAGGCTGTTGGAAATGTTTTTGGTGACGCGTGCACTACGTCTTTGAGCCCTGTAAAAGCACTGTCATTAGTGCTGAAAATTCGGATCTTATTCCTTGTGCTGAATTCCACAATAATGAATGCTTGTCCTGAATGCCTTTGACATTCCTATGTGTGCTGCCTACCTGTAGTTGTTGAAAAAATGCAAACGAGACAGTCTCCTTTGGATCCCTTCCACTCATTGTGATTAGTGTTTCTCATCAAAATATGTTTCACTAGCCTCCTTATTTTCCCTTAAGTTCAGTGTGAATTCTGACCGACAATCGGTCAATCACTTTGGCTTTTGGACCGTCTCATCATTAGACAAAGGTGCTAAATACCTTCGCTGCACGTTCCTTGACTTCACTTCTGCTTTCGACCATGTACCTAGATGTCTCTTGCTAAATTACCTCTCGATGACACAAACTGAATCCTGGGTCACAAACTGGTTGCATTCCTACTTCTCAAACAGAATGTAGTACACTGTTTACAAAGGTGAGTCCCCCTCTGTTTTGTGCTCAATGAAGCTAGTGTCCCCCAAGGTGCTGTACTCTCCCCACTTCTCTTTTCTTTCTTTCTAGATGATTTACCATCTGCAAGTGGCATTAATTTTGTTAACTATGCTGACGACTTGATTGTATCTTTGCCTGTCGAATGTCAAAGTGACTGCTCCAAACTTAGTGGCTTTTTATCAGAAATCAGCCAGTGGTCCAAGGAAAATGGTCTAACATTAAATCCCTCTAAATGCCAAACAGTCAGTTTCACCTCTAGGCATAAATCTGACCTAAAAAAAAACTGGTTAGCACTCACGAGGTGTGCAACAAAGATGGCACTGAAATAGAAACCAAGTCGGGAATTAAATATCTTGGCGTCACTCTATCTGCTGATCCTTACTGGTTGTCTCATATTTTGATGATTCCTAAGAAAATATTCCGTCTTACCTTCTACATCAAGAAGTTAAGACATTCTGGTGTAACCCAACCCTTACTCTTGCGATTCGTTAACTCTTGCATCCTGCCTATTACTCTCGATTGTTCCCCCTTAGTTTCTCCTGGGTTACTGAAGAAGGACTATACCTTATTACGCAGGATGTTAAAGGTTGTCAGCAGGGTAAGCTACGTGCCACTTAACCAGCTTGTTAATATTCTGGTTGACTGGCACACGGACTCATGTGAAAAATAGGCTAAATCCATTTGATCTTACTCACACCACCCTCTTCATTCACAACTCTAACCCCCCCCTTATATCTCATCAGGCGGAATCAGAAGCCTATATAGAAAACTATATGCTCGCACTAGCAAGTACAGAACTCAACCATACCCTACTTAGCTCGTGTTCTGTGCGATAAACAACGCATTAGGCGTGAAAACTATAACATATTATATATTCAGTAGAACAAGTGGATCTCGTCTTTCGAACTCATATCATATCAGTTTTGCTCAGGTAATCATCTGTTCCTAGTCAGCACTAACTTTAGGCACAAAGAGAGACATTGTGTAACCTGGCGACCTCCATCACCAAATCAACGCTGGACTCAGATAGACCGCATAGCCATAGGGTATCGTTGGCGAGGATCAGTAGAAGACTGATGCTCCTTCAGGAACACGTGCTTAGACTCTGATCAAGCTCTCGTTCGCGCACATTTATGCTTACGACTAAATGGACATAAGAAATTGACGGCAACGAAACAGTTACGTCCCCAACTAGATCGAGACACTGAGTCCCTATTTAAGGAAGAAATTGCTAAACGAGTGTCTGAAGTCGACAGCAGGACTTCCCCTGCGGTAGCCTGGCACAACATACAGCTAGCTGTAGACACAGCTGTGAAAGGTGTTAATGACCTAAAACCAAAAGTTAGTAAGAGCCATTGGATCCCTATCGCCTCATGCGAACTGATTGACTCAAGAAGACTGATTCCGGTGAGCTGTGATTATGATGAGGAGCGAAAGGTAGTCAAACGAAAACTAACAAGAAGTCTTCCCAACGACCGTGAACAGTGGTGGGCGGCAAAAGCGAAAGAGATGGAAAAGGCATCGGCGATTGGCAACACCAGACAACTATTTAGGCTTATCAGGGAAACAGGTGGTGAAAGGCGAATAATAAGTGAAACAATCGCAGAGAAAAATGGCACCATAATTAGCTCCCCGGATAGACGACTGGAAGGCTGGAAAGAACACTATGAGGAGCAGTTTAGTTGGCCTACAGCCATGCTTAACCTGCCGAACATCCAACACCTCCCTGAATGGGATATAGACACAGGTCCTCCGTCCTTGACTGAGGTTACTAAAGCTGTCTCTAGTCTGAAACAAGGCAAAGCAGCGGGACCTGATGGAATGACTCCAGAGGTATTTAAGTACGGTGGAGACAGTTTACTGTCTGCATTAACTGAGGTATTCGGCAGCGTCTGGGAATCAGAAGAAGTCCCATCGGGTTGGTGTAAGTCACTGATTATCCCCATATACAAGAAGGGAGACAAGTCTTCCTGTGATAATCACAGAGGGATTAGCTTGACTAATATAGTATCTAAAGTCCTAGGCTCAATAATATTGTGTAGACTAAGTGGTGCTCGGGAGACACAAACACGAGAGAGGCAGGCAGACTTTAGACCAGGAAGAGGGTGTATTGATCATATCTTCACCCTCCGACAGATTATAGAACATAGGCATTCTTACCGGCGTCCAACAATCACTATATTTCTTGACCTAAAGGGCGAATTCGATTTTGTCGACCGAGAGGTACTCTGGCGATGCTTGGCTGTAAAGAGAATGACGAGAAAATACATTGCACTGATTAAGGCACTCTACTCGAACTCATGCAACCAGGTGAGGGCTTATGGCGAGTTGTAGTCTGAAGTGGTGACGACTAATGGTGTCTATCAGGGGTTCCCGTTATTCCCTTTTCTATTCATGTTCATTATAGATGTACTAATGGACTTAACCCTAACTCACTTCAGAGACTCAGGGATTGACTTGCTGCCAGGGAATAATCTCGTTGACTTATACTATGCAGACGATATAGTCCTTCTAGGCGAGGACGCTGACAGAATCCACCAGTCTTCTGAACACCTTGAGCTGCAATCTACGAAAGTTTGCCATGCGATTTGCTCCCGCCAAATGTAAGATGATGTTATAGGACTGGATTACACTGACTCCTAGCTTAGAAATCTGGAGTGAAATGGTAGAGCACGTTGACCGTTTCACTTATTTGGGAAGTACCATCAGCCAGTGACAACGGGTTGATCTCTGACGAAATCTCAGCACGGATACAGAGGGCTAGTTTCGCATATGTCAGTTTACGCCGTCTTTGGCGTAGACGTGATATCCGACTATCGACCAAAGAGTGGGTGTACTGCTTATCAGTTCGCTCCGTCCTCCTTTATGGCTGTGTGACCTAGCCATTAAGAATGGAGGACATGAAAAGATTAGCTGTCTTTGATCATAGGTGCCTGCGTTCTATCTCCCGTGTGAAATGGTATAATAAGGTGAACAATATTGAGGTTAGGCCTCGGTGGAGTGCTAGGTAAGGAGGGGAAGTCAATCGAGGAGGCTGTGAAATTACATCGACTGAGATGGTTAGGACGTTTGTTACGCATGCCTAGTCATCGCCTTCCTCGACTGACGGGCAATGTTAGCTGACATAGGGTGAGGCTGGAAAAGAGCTAGCTAGCGGCGGTCAAACCGAAACATGGCTTCACCAGTCAATGAAATCCACAACAGTTAGTTTAAGCCAGTCACGTATGAAGGGGTAGACTTCTTGACTGGTTGGGGTCCTCGGGACGGTACAAACCAATAGCTAGAGACAACCGGTGATATGGCTTAAAATCGTTCTCAATGATGCAAATGCATCCACTCCTTGCGACTTATGATTTCCAATGAAACTGTTTTTTTCTTCGTTACCACTATTCCTTTGTCTTACACTTCTGTTTACTGTCTCTATTATGCATTTCTTGTACTTTCTTCTCTTGCTTTGTGTGCTACATGGAGGGAGTGTGGCGACTTGAACTGCTGCGCATTGGTACAAAGTTCTGTATCGAAAACAAACAGACTCATATCATTTATAAGTACAACGTTTTGCTTTCTTTCTTTTCCTTTTTTTTGTTATGTGCTGTTTCGTTTCTCTCTTCCTTACAAACTGTACTTAAAACATTCTTCTTCTTTCCTTCACACTGTGTATATATCGACCTTTTTGTTACCGCTTACACCAGTAAATTTGCTAGCATCTACTTTTCTAACACCTTCAAACACTCTGTTCAATTTTTGGCTTTGCTACCGACATGCCAATATATTGTTGTCAAAACTAACTGAGAATACCCTTAATCTATGTAGAATTTTATTTATCGTTAATGTACTAACTGGATGCAATACTGTAGTAAAAGTGCTGAGAATTCCATTATGTATCACAAGTACTCTTTTGGAATAAAGCCATTTATTATTATTATTACACTCAAGCTTACTGTGTAATATGAAAAGGAAGGCATTACGTAGCTATCATGATCTGATCCTTTTGTAATCAGTATAGTTTTTATCGAAAAAAAGAACAGTCTTACAATCTTCTAACAAAAGTGTATTCTTTGCTCCTTAGCTCATGAAGGATTATGAATCATTCACCTGCATTCTCTGCGGCAAATGTTTCTACGCCTAGCTTACAAACAGGAAATACAGGATCAGCTACATGGATTAATAAATTAAAAATTGTCGGTAGAGGACAAAACTGGGCAGTTGCACCATGTGAACCTTTCTACTTAATGGGTACTGAACCACCGGCTCCTGATGCAGCGTTGACAGGCTCGAAAAATCTTATTGAGCATTATGGTTTAGAGAATGCTTATCAAAAATTTTGTGGTAAACGTCTTAAAGAAGAATTAAGTGCTTTCCTACCTCATTTATCTGGAAATATTGATGTACCAGCTTCGGTTGATGGAAGTGGATTAATGGTAAGTTTTAGGCGTGTTTCTCTTATAAAATTCTGTGATATAAAATTGACATTTTTGCAAGTAATTTTCGTAGTTGTTTGATTACTTAGTAGGCATTATTTTTATCTTTTTCCCTTCACTTTCCCAGTGGGACATAGGGCATCAAGCTAGTAGCTTGAAGTTTCTGTAGCAGTGTTTATTTTACAGGATGAGGTTGCTAGCTCCATGCCCAACCTTTGTTCTTTACCAGCATTATTTCTGGCTTAGCGAGGTAAAGGAGTGCGTCAGCAGGGGATTGAACCCCGGACCATGTGCATGGTCGGCGAGCGTCCTAACCACTGTGCCACCGACGTACTAATAGTCATTATATATATCTGTATGAAAGTATTTCTCTTTTGTATGAGTGTAATTTCCCTTCTGACATTGTAGCTAGTCTTTTCAATAATCGTTATACATACATGTGTAAATGAAATTGGCCAGTTTCACAAATGGTTTATCCTTCAGTAGACTACACGTACATATTCGTAAATATTTCGATTTCTTTTGAGTGTATTCACAATGTGAAAATCTGACATATAAATACCAAATTGAAAAAACAAACAAACACAGCTGAACTACTTACTCGCACAACTTGCATAGTAATACATCCAACAGTTCAAGGTTTGGTTTGCCTAAGGTGAGAATTGATTGAAATGCCTAGGACGCTTGTTGCGTATACTATGAGCCATTGCCTTCCTCGACAAGCAATATTAGCTAACATAGTATTAGGTTGGAAAAGAGTCAGAGATATAGTCGAATCAAAATTTAGCATTGGTTTATGAAGTCTTCGACAGTTGGCTTCAATCACATAGCGGAATATGGACTACGTGATGGGGGTCGTTAAGATGCGAAGAATCAATAGCTGGAGACCGTTCTCAAAGAATTAGATGCATTCACTCTTTCTGTTCTCTCAGGTACATTAAATTCTCATGGCTTTCCATGTTACTATTCATCCCCGTCACATTTCCATCCATTTTAGTTCCTTTGAGTCATTTTTTCTCTTTTTTGTGTACCGTTGTACCGTGGTACATGGAGTGCAGTAGCTTGAATTGTTACTGTACTTCTGTGCTAAGTTCTATGTTGAAACTCAGTCAGTTATTATCATCAGACCACATTAGCTCTGTATCAGCGTTTTACTGATTAAAATTTCTTCTTGTTTGCTAGAACTTATAAAGTTTGGCAGTACCACTAATCACCGGTAGGCAGCGGTGATAACAGGCAGTTGTGTCTTGCTCTTGTCTTCACTTCAAATGCCTCTCTGACTTTTCCGTTCTAGATAACCTGACACATGCCATTGTCATATAGCTATTGAATAAGGTTGATAAAGATTTGTGCGCTACACTCCATAGTGCTGAAGTAGTTTCCAAATTACTCCTCGATCAGCTCTATCAAAGGCCTTTTCGAAGTCGATGAAGTTGAGGTAGATGTTTGACTGCCATTCTATGCTTTATTCTATTATGATAATGAATAGAGTTGCAACTTGATCAGCACGTGGTTTGCCTTTGATGAAGCCAGCTTGCTCCTGCGGGCGGAGTACCGCATCCACTACATCTCTTATTGTCTCCAGCTTGATGCGATTTGGTATTTTACTTGGCGTGGATAAGAGCATAATTCCTCACCAGCTCTTGCATAGGCCTAAGTCGCCTGTCTTTGATAGCTTGACAAGGTAGCCTTTCTTCCAACCAGTAGGTACCTTTCCTTCTTTACGACTTTAGGCAATAGTGGCATGAGTATATTCGTTGCGGTCTCTGGGTCCGTTTTCAGTGTTTCACGAGGAATTCTGCCTGGTCTTGCTGTCTTTCTGACTGGCTTAGAGTAGCTTTATTGCATTGAAGGCTTCTATTTTCATTGAAGAGACTATTGTTCACTGGCAGTTCTGTGATTTTTCGTAGTATTTCTTGAACAAGTTTCAGGCGGTGATCGGTTCAAGAGTTGCTTTTCATCTCTCTCTCTCTCTGAGCTAAGATGATCATGTTTAGTATGTGTTCAGCTTTGATGTACTGCTGAAAATTTGTTTTGAAAGGAATATCAAGTTGAAGCCATCATGTTATTTGGTTGATCTTGACATCTGCATTGACTAGGCAAACACTATTGACACTAAGACATGAAGACAATTGATGAATAGACCTAACCAACTACAACCAACAATCACCAATCACTATCAGTGGAAGAAATCTAAAGGACATTGTCTCTTTCACCTATTCTAGGCAACATCGTTTCCACTATAGCAGGTACACAGATGAAGATGTCAAAACCAGCCATGATCAGATTGTGAGACTAAGACACAGGCCTTCATGATTCTGAGGTCATTGTGAAAATTTGACACACTCTCAGCATACGGATAACGTTTCTGATTTTTTGTAACACCAATGTCAAGTCACCACTTCTGTGTGGTTCAGAGACTTGACGTACACCTCATGACGAGCATTTCGCATAGGATACTACAGGATTTTATTAACAGCTGTCTTCGCGGACTTGATACTGAAGACCATATGGCTGGAAATGATTAGCAACAAGGAGCCTATGACAAGTAGTGTGGACCCCTTAAAAACCAAAAAAAGTATGCTGGAGAAATACAGATAGAGATCGTTGAGTGACCTCACACACGCCAAGCTGTTGAACAGAACCCGAGTGGGAAACAACGAGTTGAACTTGAGTCCGTAGGTGACATGAAGGCGATTGTGTCACAAAAACAGATGAGAGCTTATGAGTGGTCGTGGAGCTGGTGTAGAATCTGGAAGTTTACAAACAAAGTGAATAAATCTCCGCCTCATTATTATGAATGATTCCTTTAAGTGTCTCCAGCTGTTGATTTCTAATTATTTCACGCATAGATAGTCAGATAATGTATACTATGTACCAACATAGGTCGTAACACAATGGTCAATGTCACTGTTACTTCATGCCCTTCACTATTTCTCAGTCTGATTCGACTTCAGGTGACATCACATGTCAAAGAAGGCGTTGGCTTGGTATGCGTAACTCATCTTCTAGGTTCACAATCTCATCGATAGAATTTCTATTCTGAGCTAACATTCTATACGCCTAATCTAGTTAACAATCATAAAAGCACTCACTACCGGAGAAATTCATAACCTAGGCACTTGTCTTTATTTAGATTATGTACTCTGGTGTATTATGTACTGTTTTGTGATTGACTTTGAAATGTGATTTTTGCATTTAATAGTGACTAGAGCTGGTGTATTACTAATTTTTTGTGTTTTTATCCTGATTACATTTTAGAGTCTAATTGAACGACCTCCAATCCGAGGAAAGGAATTAAGACCGTTTGCGCCCAATCAGTTAGATCATGCTTTTCGATTGCATCCAGGACCTTTGCCTCAAGAATACTCTTCTCTTTTTGCAGCTGCACCACCAAAACATATTCAGCCTAGTGGACAAGACCAACAACAACAACATTTGTTCGCAAGTGGTACCAGTGTAGCAGGCTCACGTATACCGGCTACAGCTGCACCCGGTTCTGGACTACCTCACCGTAGACGTCGTCGACATGAAGTCCACCGTGGAACCCTTGCTTCTGGAAGTGATAGTAGTTCTTCTATGGGTATATCAGGTATTGGCGGGAATGTTAGTGCCAGCCCTGCATCATTTTTCACTGGACCGTCATCTTCTTATACTCAATTAGGACCAGTACATCCGACAACAGCAGCACCATTGTCTTCAAATCAACTACCGTCACAAACGCCCGGCATTCCGTCATCTGTAGGTGTAGCTAATGCTAATGTGACACTACCTAACAATGTATCTGAGCCAACTCAATCATTACATGGCATAGAGAGCTCGCTTAGTCAGACTGTCAGCATAAATAAACCAGTAGATCATCCACCTGGTCTTATTCCTGCTTCACTTCCTCATGCTCCATCAGTACCGTCTATTCCAACATTATCTTCAGATCCTCCACCACCCCCACCTCCACTTTTAGCTCCTATACACCATCAATCATCCTCATCTTCATTAGGACAGAAATTACCACATTCAAATCAAAATAATGTATCCAGTATGAATTCTGTATATAACAGTGGTACTACAGTTAATGCAAATCTTACACCAACTAAATCAAATCCACCTGTACTTCATTCTATTCATTCATCGAATACAAATAATCCTGTTAGTACATCTCTGCCTCCAGTCCACAGTAATCACCATCATCATCATCATCACCCTCATCATCAATTCTACCCGCAGCAGCAACAACAACAGCAACAGACACATCATTACCACCAACACAATTTACATCTTTCACAGTCATATCCATCTTCATTAAGTCAGAACTCCTCTAGATCAATGTCACCTATTATACCAATGGAGACCAATTCGTCACCACCATCACCAGATATGCATAAAATACGTCGTTCAGATATGACTGATGAAGAACGGAGGAAAAAGAAGCGTAGGGAAAAGAAACGACGAAAAGATAAGGAGTGAAACTGGTTTTTTCAACAAAAATAATTGTTCCTATGTGTGGGTGAGACGCTGAGGTGTGTTTTTTTACTCCTCCCACAGGATTAATGTGGGGCGAAGGAGGTGGTTATAAAGAGACTAAATTTTTTTCTTAAACTTCTTCTGTAAAATTGTGTATTCTACTTTTTCAAACTGTAAAGCTTTCTTCCTTCCTTCTTTCCTTCTTTTTTTGTGAAATTGTTGGTCGTGTGACTTTTTTCTTTAATTTGAATAAGGAAAGAATGAACACCACATTTCCTGGATTCTCTCCCTCTCTCTCTCTCACTTCAACTCTGTACATCCCAAATAAATCAATTATTATTATTTTATATTACAAAATGGTGTCTGAAGACACTTGCTTCAGAATGACTTCTAGTTATATACATAGAAAGCATAAGCAACACAACTTCGAAGATGATGTAAGTAGACAGTTATTTAGTGTTAAAAGAGAGTTACTACTTATGTAATAATTAGACAAGGGGTAAGGATAAGTTCCTGATTTCGCTTGGATTTAAGGATTGACTAGAGACAGAATACAAGCTAGAAAAACAGAGTGAAATTTATGCATATCATGGTGGATGGCTCAGGATTTGGAACCTTAGTGAGTGAGTTCAAATCAGTGGGTGAGAATCGAAATCAAGACTGAATGTTATGCATCAGGAGAAAACACAAGGGCACACAAACAAAAAGAAATTACAGTTACCAGTTCCGGTAGGGTATTGAGAGATTGGTCACACTATCTTTCTGCATGCATAGATTGGGTTAATGTCTTTTCATGGTGGTAGTGGCTTCTGAGAATCAACCGAAGCAGCCATGGTTTTCTTTGAGTATTGATTATTTTGAAGGCCTGCAGGCTGATTTCCACTGTATGTTGTGTGTTAATTAAGTGTCTGACGACTGTGCTTGCGAGCGCTGCTGCTTTTCAAATGGAGACTTAAGTGAATATGCTCGAAGAATCTACCAGATGCTCTCCTCTCAGTCCTTCCTATGTACCTTTTGCCTCAAATGCAGTTGGAGTTGACATGAGTAGGGTACTTGTCTACCTTTGACTAGGTTAACAAGATAACTGCGTTGAAAAGTGCAATGAGTGTAGCGGCGGGAAATTTCCTTCTCAATGCGCCATTATTTATGTTTCTGTGGATACTTCTTCGCCTTTGTACGCTAGACAGATAAAAATTGGTTTCTTTTCAACTATTTCGGGTTTCGGTCTAAGTAATTTTTCCTTCCCTTATTTCGATATAAACTTCTGAGGGTATCCATTTTCCATAAGTTTCTTTTCGATGACTGTGAGTTCCTCTTCAATCTTATCTTTTGAACACAACGCCTTAGCTCTCCTGAGGAACGTTTTCACCAGGATCTGTTTGTAGCCGATTAGGCGAAAGCCATAATAATTCAAGTATTGACCACTCCACGTTTCTTCCCTATAAATTGATTTGTCAATTGTCCCACCATTTCCTCTTTTTATGTTGAGACCTAAGAAGCAGAACTGACTATCACGTTTATGATCCATTGTAAATGCTTTATGAGGGTGACCTCCACATTTAAGCTTGCAAACACCGTGGAAGCGTGATCCATATTATTGCAAACCACAAACGTGTCGTCAGCATGCTTGCAGTAATAGGTGGTTCCCTCTACATTTCCGACTTCATTCGAGTCAGTTCAAGATGAGCCATGAATTGTCACTGTAAGATTGTTACTTGTCCCTTAATTTAGTGGCGCATATATTAAGACATACTCTGCATGATACTGTTGAATAATTTGCTTGACTTTTTTCTTCCGACAATCATGAAAAACATCAGCTAAACAAGTCTGTGAAATTTCAGGCTTCTGAAACACTTCCTGACTTTAATGGTACCTGGTTGTTTGTTGTATAGTAGTCCGCAATGGTAATTGATTATATTATGTTCTTTATTGATATATTCTACAACGAAAGTGGAAATCTATTTCGGCGTCTCAACTTTAAACTGTCCTTTGTAAGCCACACGTTTCATCATCAGTTGTTAAGCTTAGACGTTATCCGTGGACTGTTAGCCTTAACCTAGATAACTTTGATTATTTGATAAAACCAGGTTGGACGAGAGGACAAAATACTCATCACCCACGACATTAACTAATGTCAGTCGAGCTACGAATTGGAATTCATGAACTGGCCATTGGATTGAGTCCTAGCGGCTTAATGGTCCACGAGCTAGCTCGCCTTGTAACCAGAAGGTCATGGACTCGAACCTTGGCGGTGGGTGCGTACTAGTGAAGCAGAGTCACAAACTAGGCGGACAAAACAGACAGCTGCCAAGTACTCCAGCGGTGGTTTTCCAATAGTTCTCTAACGGATGTCACCTCCTCATGATGAAATCCTGTGACTAAAACCAAATTTAATTATGCTTTTTAAGTGTTGGTTTTTAGGGATTTGGTTGGTTTCAGGATTTCATCATGAGCTGACATTAGTTAGAGAACCATTGGAAAACCTGGGAGTACTGGACAGCTGTTTCGTCCTAGTTTGGGACTTAATGGTATACGAGCTCGACTTGTAACCGGAAGGTCCTGGGTTCGAATCCCGGTGGGTGCGTACTGACGAAGAGTCCCAAACTAGGACGAAACAGCTGTCCAGTACTCACAGGTTTTCCTTCCAATGGTTCTCTAACTAATGTCAGCTCATTAATTATGCTTTGTTTGTGTTATTCAAATGAATACGACCCCTTCCTCCTGTAGTATGACTTACATTCTTCTCTCCAGTATTCAGTCATGTAGTCTGCTAATCATTTCTGCAGAAACGTTTACCTGCTAAAATCTGTGTCATCTGGAAAAATACGCTCGTGTCAGAAATTATTTATCTAAAACAGCTAGTTGCGTTTATGAATTTAGATAAAGCAATAAGAAGGTGTAATTTGTCTGTATTGTGTAATGTTGTATTAACGTGCAACACATTTCGAACAATCGGATCCATCACACACTGACTGACTTGTCATAGGAATACACATGTATGAAATTAATAAAGAATTAAGAGGTCATAAAATATACTTAGGTCTAGTTAAAAGGACATATTAAAAGTAGAAATAACAATGACGACCACTAAACCAAATCACAGAGGTAATAATAGTACATCTACCGTGGCTGCTATAAAGACAAAATCTACCAAGGAAGGTGGTTTAGTGTGATGACGAATTGTTGCTTTGAACGCATAAAGATGGTTTAAGCTTCCTAATTGCTAGAGATTCCACAAACTGTATGATACGCCCTCGACCAAACATGTTTTTAAAAGACGTACGGAAACATCAGTTTTACGTTCTGTCTCTATAATATGTTCGCCAATAGAGGAGCTTGGTCGCCGCCTGTTCTCACCATTAATAGGTTCTGGATCTTCTGTTTGCTTCTGGAGCCACTTAGGAATATGCTGTGAAGCCAGCCTTTACTTGGAAAGATCGATGAGTTCTCCCTATGTATGTGTGCTCACACATACATTCAAATTGGTAAATACAGTGAGAGGATGTCACGTGATTTTTCACATGTTCTAAGGGCTCAGATGAGTATATGGGCTTCACATTCTTAATTGTTCTGATCTTATCTGCATAGAAAGTCTTTTTTTAACCACAGCCCTCACTCTTTATCTACTCGTCAAGCTGCTATGATCCTCCATATAGGGTAGCTTGATGTACACGTCTTTCTAAGAGGCGAGCTTGGGAGTGGATCTTCGTCCTCTGACTACTTTATTATCTCCTAATGAACTTATCTGGATAATTATTATGTCACATTGACTCGAAGGTAGTAGATCCTACAAACAACAATAATGCGTTAAATAAGCAACTTTCTTCAGTGTTTTCTATCAAAGTTGACAAGCACTTTGCTGTTATTTGGACATATTCAGTATTGACACCTAGAAATTAATGGTTACAATATCTTTGACATGTAGACATGCTTTTTTATAGATGATAATCTAAAACAATACATACAGTTGATATATTGTGAAAATTATATTTTCAAAGGCCCACAAAATATGCACGGTGGACACATTGATGGATGAGCTTCGACATTTAAATTCAGTTTTGCAACCTAATGGTTATCCAGAAAACTTCATCACTTGTCACAGTAAAGAAAGACCACATCCCAAAAAAACAGCCTGTGTGCTAAAGAAAGCTATCTTTATTAACCTGCCATTCAAGGGTGACCAGAGTATTCAGTTGACAGCTAGCTCAAATACTTCGGTCAGCCATCAAACGCACATCCTATGCCGCATCTCTTTTTCTCACTTTCCGAACATATTCGATTCCTGTACCTACGATTAATAAAGGACGAAATTCTGTGTACTCTACTTCAAACTGTATCTACAAGTTCACCTGCAGTTGTTTCGGTGACATCTATATGGGTAGAATCAACAGAATGTTCCAATGTAGTTGTCGAAAAGAACATGTTCCAAAATGGTTACTAAAACATAGAAAATCCAAATACACTTAATTTGAACAGAAATCCAGCATCATCCATTGCAAAACATTTATTAATGTCAGGTTACAAAATCAATATTAATGACTGTTTCACAATTATTTCATCGCATAACTCTAATTCAAGGTTACTGAAGGTGATGGAAGCCCTTTGAATTAATCACATGCAGCCTAAACTGTGCGTACAAAAATCAACCAACTTCAACCTCCGCCTACCACATAGATTACTTGACCTATTTAAATATGATTGGTTCTCCGTATACACTTTTTTTTTATAAAATTATATTTATAAAATCTCAGCGAAATTGAAATGAGTAGCTTCAACGTTTCGTTTAGCAAACTGGTCCGAACGTCTTCAGGGAAATTAACCGAAATTAAAATAACCATTGTGCGTCGGTGGCACAGTGGTTAGGACGCTTACCGACCATGCATATGGTCTGGGGTTCAATCCCCGGCCACGGATGCACTCCTTTACCTCGCTAAGCCAGAAAACAAATGCTGGTAAAAGAGGAAAGGTTGGGCATGAGGCTAGCTAGCAACCCCATCCTGTAAAAATAATAAACACTGCTATAGAAACGCCAAGCTTATAGTTAGGAGCCCTATGTTCCACTGGGAACGTGAAGGAATAAAAAGAAAAAAATTAACAAAGTTTTGATGCATAATATGGACATCTCTTGTTTTTTTAAAAAAAAACTTTGTCCAATCATATGAGTTATAAAACAGTGATCAAAATATAATAAACAAAGTTTTGATACCGTATATGTTGGGTAAGCTTCCAGACAGATTAATATAAGAGTGAACATAAGAGCATAAACAATGTCTAGAAGTGGTTCAAAAGATCTCTACAGGCTTAAAGAAGCTAGCAAATTGATCAGCGACTGCACTGCCCTGTACTCGATAGAAACGGGACACAAGATCGACTTTGATAAG